ATAGAACAGATAGGAGCTCGATGGAAGCCAGGAAGGCCACGGACATTTCCGGGGGTCTGGAAGCTTCACCCGTGTATTACGAACGTCAAGAGAGCAAACATCAAAGCAAGGTCTTTCCTGCATTCGTGGTGAGCGTCTATCGGAACTAGAGAGTTTTAGATATTGTTTGCTAGCGTGTGTCCACGAGTGATGAATGTGTAAATTGTCGATCAGCTCCAGTGTGTGAATCCGTAAAGGAGGAACACCCTCCACCAGAAATCGGACAATAGTTTCCTTTCGCTTCCAGTCGGTAATTTTTCTGACGTACGGCTGCTCCACAGAATCTCTTTCTGTGAACCGTTACAGTTATTACGTTCGCCTGGTTTTCTGTAAATTCCGGAATCAACGCAACCAGATCTCCCGCATTCCAGTATATCACCGAAAACCTGCCTTCAGCCGGCGTTGATGAATCGCTTGCCTCGTCTCGCTTTGAAGGGTGCGTTTGCACCGCCGGCTGTGGTTCTGGGTGTTCGTGCATCCGGTCGGATCTATCGAATCATCCCAAAGTCCCCTTCGCCATCTGTGGCGAAGCGTGTCAATGTCCCGCGGGCTGTCGGAATCGGAGTCTCAGCTCGAAAATCAATAATGGTAAGAATCGAGACTCTGGCGATGAGGCGCTCAAGACCCTAGAGATTTAGGTGTTTCCACAATCTTGCGTCCTCGGAGTCGAGGAACCCACGCGTTCCTTAGAGGGGAACGGGTCATCCGCTCCGGAGACCTGGCTGAGGCAGCGATATGATTCGCGAATGGAAGATACGATAGACGGGCAATAAGTTCGAACTTCAGAAATTTTGATTGTGCGTCCCAGGACCCGACAAACGCTGACCGAGGGGAGACTTGAGGCAATGTTTCGGCTACAATGCCTGGACCCATCCATTTAATGGCTTCCTTTGTTCTGTTTGGGTCGCTCAGCGTTTTCTTGTGTACCTGCTTGCGACGCAGCTCATAATAGCGGCGAGGGCTCTTCCTCGCCGAAGTCGGAACGACGATGGCAGAAGACTCTGCTCCTTTCAGTTCTTCGTCTCGGGCCCACTTCCGGTCGTCATTCGTTTTCTGTATAAGAATCGCAGGGCAGCAGCGCTGGAGCGAACTTCAAGTGGACATGGATGCGACTCTGGAGGACTGTTTCGGGATGGATGTTCGCTCGAACGCTCGCCGTTCCGCAATCCGTCGACACCTCGAGACCTGTCTCTCACCGCGCTCTTCATGGCGAGGTTTTCTTGTTCTCGAGCGGAAATCCAATCGGGGAAGATGTCGCAGTTTCGTGACAAAAAAATCGATTTCTTGAAAAGATTAAAAATGCTGGGAACCTCAATCGGAGCTTGGGTCTCGACCGACAGCTCACAGCCAATCAGAGCGAAAAGTCTTGTGAAGTATCGGAAATGTTATGAGCGTTTGCCGCGCTGGAGAACACGCGCGGAACGATGTGCTCGCTCCATGGCCGTGGAATATCCATCGAAAATACCTGTTTTGAGTTTTCAAACAGTATTGAGAAAAAAAGACCTTCATCCATCTGAAAAATAGAATCGAATGCGAAGCTCGGAAGGTTGACTGCTTCCCGACTCAAATTGACGGAAAAGAGGGGCTACCCACGATAACACATCATGATCAAGAGATGCGCGGAAGTGATCTGCATTGTTCGCCGCATCTAGATGCGTCCAACTGCGAGCGCTCGTTTCTCTCGGTCGCATCCAAATCTTGGATTCTGAGCGTCCTTCGCGATTTGGCGCCCGAATCGACCGACGACGGTGGCTTCTAGGAAGCTTCGGAAAAATAGCTGAGTGAGCATGAGACAAACGCCGAAACATCGATGACAGTACGGCACTCTGGACATCGACCGGGAACCTCCCTTCGGAATGAACGTATTCTCTCTTCAGCTGCGCTTCGGAAGTATTGTAGCGCTTTCGCTTTCGGTCGACCGCGGGAAACAGAAGATTTCTGTCAGAAATTGAAACGAGACCACGCAGAAGAGCCACGTGACCGATAGTACGTTGATTCCAGGCAGTAGCGGCAAAGATGCCAAACACCAGTGCTTCATTTCTGGAGAAGCACAGCTAGACGTTTCTCTGCGCACTTCCGCTTTGTTTTTTTTTCATCTCCGCCGGCAACGTTCCGCCAAGTCTTTTATGATACTACCGGCGGCCGGGAATCTTGCAGATTTCCGGCAGGGAGAAGATCTCTTGTCATGAAATAGAAACCGTTCGATTTTGCGAATCCCCGGGAAGCATGTTTGAGTTTTTTCTATTTTCCACGCGAGACGGATGCACGGAGACATTTTGTTCGCTTACATCTTGATGAAGTCATCGATGACTATGCAGGTATACCGAACGTCTTAGAAGTGTTCGAATGTGAGGATTCCCGAGGATTCGGCGTCCGAGCCGTAGACCCTATCCCGGTGGACACCTTCGTGTGCCCCTACGTGGGCGAGATTATCGACGAGGAAGAAGCGCGTCGGAGAGAAGTTTCTAGGAAACCAGGCGAGCCGAACTTCATCATCTGTGTCCAGGAGTTTTCCGGTCGGGTGAGTATCCACTTGTCAATTTGTTTCCCTCTCGGAGGTTCTCTACGTGTTCCCGAGATCTCCCCGGATTCTCATCTAAATCGTGACCGGTCCTCCCCTTTGTGCGATCGACTGCCGATCGCAGGAAAAGTGTTCCTATATCCGCGGTCGCCGTACGTCCGCTGTCATCGGCCGAACAATGAGGCCTGAGCCAGAAAGAAATTATGTTCCGAATCGTGAATTCAAACCTGGAAACAGAGCAGCGCGTGTGCGCACCATCGCCTGTGATATTCGATCCGGAGACGGAACGCGCCGGCCGATTTTTTTGCTCTTCCTGGAACGTCCATATGCTCTTCCGTGGGCTGTCGGTTGCTTCCATCGAGCGAGGAGAAGAGAAAAATAGCCTTCTTCTTACTTTTCCACTTTTTGACCGGATGTGTGTTAAACTACGTTTCCCTGTGACCCAGATTTCCGGGTGATGGTAGTAGCGGCTGCGGGCGGACGCGGCTCGGCTCCGGATACTTTCTCACGACTATTCCTTTGTTCATCCGTCCATACAGAACACTGCTCCGTTTCTGAAAACCATCGTCGATCCGGCGCATTATGGAGGAGTCGGCCGATTCATCAACCACAGCTGCGATCCGAATCTGAGTCTTCATTTAGTGCGGATTGAAAGTGTTCTGCCGACGATCTGCCTTTTTTCACGGAAACGTATCGCTGCCGGCGAAGAGCTCACTTTCGACTACGGAGGACTTTGCGACGACCCTTCAGCCGACGCTCGCGAGTCAGCGTCACCAGGCGCCGCGACGCCGGGACCCGGTGACGGCTCGCTCTGGAAGCGCACTTCGTGTCTATGCGGAAGTCGAAACTGTCGGGGGCTCCTGCCCTATGATTCGGGGCTTTTCTGAAACTCAGCTCGTATGAAGAAGTGAGGAAGCCGGAAACCCGCAGCTTCTGAAGATACCACGCGCGACGAGCTCATTCAGCGGTGCTGACATTCTATTATTGTTCATCGAGTCGCCTGATAACTCACCTGGTATATCGCGGCAGTTCCGCCGGAACACGCAGTCGAAGATGTATGTTTCCCGCACATCGGAGAGATCAGTAATTACGATTAGAATTCGATCCAGTAAGAGCAGGCGGACAGCACAAAACCCGAGAGGGATGAATCATAGAAATTATCAATGATCTCACAAGGTAATGATATCGAAGCTCGCTTTCAGTGGAGTACACTTGATTTATTTCGAGGAAGAAAAGTAACAATTCAGTAATTCAAAAACTTCAACTTTGTATAAAGTAATCAATCCAACAAACAAGAGGTGTGAACCGAAAAGACAATTCTGTGTGTTCTGCTTCATTTTTGGGGTGAAAGCATGTGTGTATAAAATGCGCTCGCGCTATAAGTATATTAGAATAATTTACAGAATTCGATGTCGAAAAAGTCGAACCAGCGCTTCTCAACAACAGATGTCCATGCTGTCTACCTCACTCGTCGCTAGAATATATATATTCATTTATTATGTACTTATTTATATGTGTATGTACGTGGACGGCTCACCAGGTCCACAGCGTATGAAGGTATCCGAGCAAGAGCTCTCAGCCTAAGTTCCCCCTCCCCCCTCTACCTCCAAATCGGAATTTTGATCGGAGCTCTTAGCGAATATTTGAGATAGTTCAAGCCCAGTTAAAGTGATATCTAACTCGAGGGACGCTCTCTCGCGAGTCGGGATCGAGCAGAATTTCCGATAGAATTTCTGGTCGACTTCTGTCTCCTGTAGATCCCGTTGTTTTGTTTTGTGTGAAAAATTCTGTATTCTGATTACTCCCGGCCGTCCCGAATTTCTGCCGATGTAAGTTCCGTGTATGTTCACAGCGATACACTTTCGGTCGATAGCATCGCTCCGGGAATGTGGAAAACCTGCACTCCCATCCTCTAAGTGCACGAGTCTCACTCTGGATGCATACGTACATATATTCTGGTATGCACACTCCCTGATTTCAGCTGTTGTTACGTGCTCTGTTGTAGGTTTTTCCATCCGGAACGATTGCGCTTTTTATCGATAATCTCATGTGATCTCTCTCAGAAACTAGGGAACTACTCAACGGTGCTCGTGTCGAGCGTCTCCATGTTTCCAGAAGCATCGATGCGGTCACTCACACGGGGAAATCCCTCGTCGAGATTCAAACGCCGTCTTCAAAATTGAATATAGTCGCTTGCGAATTTCTTCAGACTTGCACAATATTGAGGTCTCCTTCAGTCGTGAAGGAGCAGACTCGGTTATGTGAAACTACGCTCTCTTTCTCCGCTTTTCCTTTAAATCGCGCGGAGACTGTGTAACCATATTAGCTAGCTTCTGTACGTCTTCCGCTGGTCGTATCCGGACGTCGAATTCGCAGCGAGTCAAACCCGGTGATCGACGGTCTCCATTTTGGTTTGAACAACTTTTCCCAAGATCTTGTTTCAACTGGTACGTTTAGAAGATTTCTCCCCGTTCTCCTGAACGAGTCGCTTGAGGAGATTTATTTTGCTCTGGTAAGACCTCTTCCGTATTCTCATGCGCTCGATGTTCAGCTGGGCGAGCCGCAGTCGACGAGCGAGAGTTGCGCTTCTGACCCGGGCTCGCAACGATTTCTTCTTGACTGTCTTCACTTCTTTGGACGTGGTCACCTGTAATCGACAGAAAACAGAAGTCAGAAAATGCCACAGCTCGTCCATTATGTTGCCTGTTACATGTCCATTATATGTATATCAAAGCCCGCAAGCGTCCGAGCTTGCTCAACCCAGCGACCAGCGCCGGCGGCTTCCGTCAGAGCATTGAGCATAATTCCTTTTCTTTCTTCCCAACTCATCATTCTGGAGGGATTGCATTTGAATAATTCTCGGAAGCTGACGAGAAGTTCTGGTTAAAGCTTCATGACCTCACGGCTACCTTTTCTACAATCAATGGAGTCGGAACTTTTACCTATATACGTGTTCAAGAGGCTACCGGAAGAGAAAAATTCGTGATCAGATCAGGAATGAAAACTTGGGGAGCCCTTTTCTCGAGCTCGTGGTCGGGACGGCTCAGGACGCGTCAGCTCTTTTCGAATGCCAGCAGCCGATGCGATCGATGGCGAATGCGGGATAGTGAATGCCCCCTCGCAACAGCGCATTCAACGAGCGGTAGAACAGGTTGGTCAGATTCTCGCGGCTCCGCTGCCGGAAGTGAGAGCTGGATGTTTTCTATTCCCTATTTTATCAAATCCGAACAATCGTCCAGAAATTCACGGATTCGAATCGAACGGGACGCTTCTGCTGACAGCGGGTATTTCAGCCGTCAGCCGGGGGATAGCGGGCTGTTAGTGAGGAACGCGGGGCGCGACAATAGAACCCCAGACTTGCGCCAAAACAACATTCGATGGACGTCTCTCATCAATTGGAGATTCTCCCGGATTGAGACCCTTGCTGTGTAGGGCCTATGGGCTCGAATAGTATAGTTCGCCGAAAACCCGAACCTTTGACCGGATCTCCGCACATGCGAATCGCCTCCGATCGTCCTGGCGAAGAGTTTGAGGAAGAGTAATCGTAGGTGGTTGCCAAGACGTGAAAGAATGAATGGTGCTCACGGAGACAATCGATTCTGCACGTCCCGATCTAGCTTTGTGACGGTTGGGACCAACTCCAGGTGCAGAACACGAAACCGATTTACTGATAATGATGCAAGGTTACGTGGCGACGACGACGAGTTATAGTCGCCACGGCCGTCGAAAAGATATCAGTTTATCCGAATTCGCATTAAGCCATCAGTAAGCTAAAGAGCTCTGGAGTCGAAGGCTACCGCGAGGGAACTTCAGCGCTTCAAGTGGGGTTTCGGACTTCCCGAGTGTCTGCAGAACCGTGAGATTAGGGTCTCGAGAACCGCCTCGCCTCCGAGGTTCTCCTGACCACGGGAGTCCAACTCGCTGAGCCCGCATCTCTAGGATGCGAGTACCCGAAGACTTCCGAAAGGAGAGCAGATGATTTCTCGACATTAGTCTGGAGCGAAACGCGGTCTTGACTTCCGCCCTGGCCCATTCCATCTCCATCGAAATTCTGATGATTGCTCATCATCATCACCGAGGGTCGAAGGCGAGGACGGTGACGAGAGAAGTCTGTCGACGCTCGTTAAACCATCTTCAGCACAGAGATGGTGATTACGACAAACCGAAAATCTTTCCAAGTCCTCCGATCGACGCGAACGAAGTCTCTTGCGCCGAAGTCGCCACCAACAACAACGGCTCCGCCGAAGTCTTCGTCATTCCGCGTCTTGATGTACTTTTCTCATTCTTCTCGCAAGCGGACGAGTCAAGGTTATTGCTGACCTCTGCGTTCTGTTTATCTGTTTACGCTCAGTGCGTATCGAGGAGGGGGGGAGGCTCGACCGCCAAAGTACATATTATGTGCTATGCACAGAAGAAAGCACTCCCAAGCTCGGCTCGGAATGAGATGATTCCTCCGGTTTGAATCAAAGCAAGCCATCAGAGTTATAGCGCCCAGCTCACCGGCAGCGCTGGCACGCTGAGCTTCGCATGCCTTCCTGTATCCGTGACTTGTGAAAACTATCTCCGACAACCGTGATCCATTCCGCTCGCTTCGTTTGCCCCGAGCCATCTGCTCTGCGGGACGAAAACGAGGAAAACGGCGCTGGCGCCCGGAGTCGTTGAGTGAAGATCGTTATCGCTATCTAGATTCTCAACGTTGCCGCTGTCGTCTGTGACTTTGCATATAGGGAAAATAAATCCCCCTCCAATCTCCGAAGGTTTCCGCGGCATTCTTGCTCGCTGGGTTTGCATACCGCGGACTGCATTAGATTTTGGAAGAATTACTGATGGTCGATCATCGGAAATTCTCCCTGGACACTCCGGCCCGTGAATACATGAACTTGGCTGAATGTGAGAGAGTAGAGGGGCGGGGGGTGCTCTCTGATCAAGCGTCAGAATCGATGATGAGATGACATACTTGGCATCGAGCCGGCATGACGCTCGAACCGGAGCTCTTCGCACACGGGAATGATCGCGGATAACCCATCTGCCCCACGCGAAGTTCCCTCAACGCTGAGAACGTGGCAAAGAGTCCAACGTGGTACACGGGAGTTACTCCCGAGCTTGACGGAGCATCCAAGAGAAATGAGAATGGATTCTAGGTCGCAACTCCGGGAGCTTCTCGCAAACGCTGCGGAAAGGAAGTCCCAGGAAGAGCTTCAGGAATGACTTCGATCGCGTCGCTGCAGTCTTGAGAAAGGGACGTAGGCTTCATTTCCAGACTATGACTTCACCGTCAGCTGCTAGAAGAGAAGTCAGAATGCGGAAGAAGAACAGAATTTTCTGTTGTTCGGTCCATAACGGCGTTGGATACACACGCGCTCAGACTCACACCCCAACACAAATTACGTAAAACAGAATTGGAATGTTGTCTCCGTTTCGTATCGTAGCTATTAGATCGTATCGATTAGAAATCGCAAGGTGTGTGTTCTCTTCTAGGCGCGACACATTTCCACTATGCCGAATCGACTTCAAGGGTCGAGGGTCTTTCTCTTCCGGAAATTCCTCATCCAACATTAGAAAGGAATCCTCGCTTCGGTCGTCTTGAAAGCCCTTGCGGAAACAGCATACATCCCCTTGGATCTGTTTTTAATGATTTTCTGCAGTGACTGAAGGGAATTCTTCTTCTTTTCCGCCCGGGTCAAATCGGGACACAACGGAAGAGTCTTCCGCAGCCCAGGGTCTGCAGGACTTCTGCAAAGCTCTGGGATCCGAGATCTCGATCGAAAATCGACTGGCATCGCCGTTGATCCACAAGGGGGATTCACTTCGCTGCTGTTATTGTTTTTGTTGTTGTCCTCGTTTCTGTTGCCAACGCAAAGCAAGTGGACCGCTGCTGTAGGCTGACTCATTGAGTTGTTTGTTCCTTTCTGTTGATGTCGGCAGCGCTGTTTCTGATGATTCTGCCTCGACGGCAGCTTGCCCCTGCTGGTACTGTTTGCCCGGTTGGTCGGTCGGTCGCCTGGCCGGTCGGCCATTCGGTTTGACGCTTGCCTGGCTGACTGCTCATTCGTTCATTTGCTCGCATACTGGCTCGCATGGCTGGTGCCGGCAGGCGTTCGCCCGCTTGGACGGCCGCTTGCCTGCTTGCTCGCTCGCTCGCTGTGCTGTTGTTGAAGCCTTGGCCAGAGCGATACTTACGACGACGGCGACCTTTGTTGGACGGTCGGCACTTCACGGCTACAGCAGCGGTGGCGGTGGCGGCCGACGCTGCCGCAGTCAGTCAGACCCAACAGCAGTGCCACCAGCGCACTAAGAGCAGAGGCAGCAACAACGCCGTCACCGCCAAGAGAACTGCTGTTGAACAGCGCTGCTTGGTGCTGCCGCACGAAGGGAACGGAAAGGAACAACAACCAAGACGGGCGACCGACCGACCAAGCAAGCAAGCGAGCAGCAACGAACAGGCAAGCAGTCGATCGCTCGCTTGCGCGCACACACACACGCACACACACAACGGCACAAGGACAATATCACGGAATACGTAAAAACGTCGAGGACTTTATTATCAGGGTTAGCAATACACCGGGACGACAGGGTTCTGTTAGTGAGAGCTACTTTTACAACAATTATGGACAGGCAAACGGACAAGTTAACGAACGAATTGGCGGACGAAAGAGAGGAACACCTCTCCGAGGACACGAGTTTAGGGGACCGGCGACGGAGACCTTCGAAATCCGGCCCGAATCCTCTCGTGACTCCGGGTCGGAACCCCCATCGTCTTCCAGAGACTTTGACTCCGTCTTAATCGACACATTCTACTCCGGTCGAATTAAATAAACGAATTAAACACAAACACGGGGAATTCGATTCTGCGTGGGAGCACCAACTGTCTCCTCGGGGGAAGCGGGCACACGGGCGAATGTAGGGGACAGAGGGACATATAAATTAACGAATTACACATAGGGAATTTTTACACGCTCTCTTCCGAGAGTGGGGTATAAAACCGGCAAGGCGCCGCTCTCGATCACTTGAAGGTCCTCGATCGTTCGTGATGCGATCGTAACTAATAATAGCTCCAGTATCGAAAACTTATATCGAAAATCTATGTACAAATACATTACTCCGGTCAAATATTGCCGAGATTCGTATGTTCCCGGTTCCGTCCGAGTGAGGTCCGTCTCATCAGTATCCTTTGCAGCGAGCGCTTGTGACGCGGCTGATGTCCTGTCTTCGGACAATGTTCTGTATTTGCATATGAGGGTGTATACATATGAGAGATTATTACTTTATCGCCTTCGTTCTCGTCGTCGACGACGACGACGGCGGCGGCGACGTTTGTTTTATACAGCACCGAATGGCCTTGCACTATGAGCGGCCTCGGTCGGCCGCTTTGCCGCGCAGCTCCATGGCGCCGCTAAAAAAGCTCCAAGGAAGCCAACTGACTGAGCGAGCGACCAAACGAGCGACCGACCGAGAAACCTATCGCAGCTGATGATAAACACAACCATTTCATGGGAGAAGAGAATTCACTAAATTATATTAGAAAAGGGATAAAATCCACAGCCTCTCCGGTTTCCGTGAGAACTATCCAGCCGATGAGCAGCCAATAACGAGCTGAATGAGCACCAATCCTGCCCCGTACTCTCGTCACTGTGTTCGAGTGGCGGAAAAGGGGACTCCGGACGCTGGGCTGGGTTCCGATACGGACCGGGGCTGCGCGTCAACTATTGAGTATGATTCAGAAAAGTCGACGAGCGAGGTGAATTCTCGCCGCGGGGTCCTTGTTAAGAAGGAGCGAGGAATGTGACCTCGTCCTGGGAGTGCGAAGTGCGTCTCTCCAAACTCGTTTCGAAGATCCTCGACCACGGTCCTCGCGAGAGCCGTCGAGCATCGCTGTTTTCCGCGTCGAATTTCACTCGTTAAATTCTCGTAGATCCTGATGATCATAGCGGTGTCCGTGATCGTCAATGCCATGATGATTCAGCCAACATTGATAATAATAATAATAATATTAACTATGTATCCGAGGAGACTATTCAATCTAAGAGCATGTACTCGAAGTCTTCGACCTTGATCGTGTCGAAGTCCGAGTCGCGCACTTTGATTAGAGTCGGCTCGAAATAATCAAAACAATTATTGCTCATATTTCCCGAATTGCAGCTGTTGGGATTGTTGTTGGGGTTGCTGTTGTGAATATTGCTGTTGGGATTGTTGTTGCTGTTGTTGTTAAAATCGACGCCTACCTTACAGTCCATCTGTTCGGGGTGTTCTGGCAGACTGCAGACCTCTTTAATGCGAGCCTGATCACCGAACAGTGTGGGCACAGCGTCCTTGCGCAGATTGCCCTTGGAGTCAAAGCGTTCGGTGGTAAAATGTGCTTCACAGAGGAAGTCTGAGCTGGTCGCCAGTTTCAAGGTGCCGTCCGGATTACTCAGATTTACGTTCATGCTCCAGACCATGCGAAGGAGAACGTCGTCTGGGAATCCCATCAGCTCGGGGTATTTCAGAGGTGGGCTAACCGGAGTGTGACCTAAGAGGTTCGCGAGAGTCGGCGCTTTCGACGACGACGACGATTCGGTGCGAGGCAGACGATTTGTGGGACAATCCGGTATGAAGCATCGAGGAGCTCCACCCCTCGAAAGATCACTGCTTCCCGAGTCGTACGACGACGACGACTCGATGCTGGGCGACACAAGACCCGGCTCTTCCTTGATGTGCATCGAAGATTCCGAAATTTGAGTCTCGGAAAGTTCCGTGTAGTCCGAGCGAGGAACGGCTTTGAACGCGTGATAGGCGTTCGGACTCATTTGAGCTTCGGGATGTTCTTGTATCGGATATTTGGTTAGATAGTCGAACTGGCCGGAGGCGTGTTGCATCTTGAAGCGTTTCAGCGGATGGATCGGCTCGTTCGCCTGTTTCGGGTAGGTGGCCACCGGTCGCAGCAGAGTCGGGGCCGACTCGGGCCTGTAGTCTTCCGGGGCCGAGTGATGCGGGTTGAGGACGGGCAGAGCGTTCTCACTATTGTGCTGCTCGTTATGAACGCTTTGACATCGTTCCTGCGGAGCGTTTTTCGAACGGACTCCCTTTTCCACCGGGGCGTGATTGTGGTCTCCGGACGCTCGGAACACAGAAACTTTATCACTGTTCGCGTGGTAAAGAAGAGACACTGCCGCTGGGCATCGAGCCGAGCGATACTTGGAGCACTCGTAGTAAACCTTAGTCCCTTCCTGCACTTGTGTTTTCTTCTGCATGACCCATGTTCGTTCGGCGGCCACGAACCCTTTGGCTTCGGAATCGTTGTCGTAGTAGCGAATCAACGACCATTGTCGCTCTTTGCCGCGACCTCTGCGTTTCGGAGCTCCGTCTGAAGCTCCAGCTGGTCCCTGGGCTTTGCCCATCGCGAGGCTGCTGCTGCTGCTGCTTGCACTGCTACTGCCTAATGTTGATGTTGTGCTCGCAGTCAGGCCGCTGCTGTTGGCCGCTGAAGAAGTGGATGCTGCGGCGGCAGCTGACGTTGTCGTCGAAGCTGTCGGAGATTTCGGTTTTCCACTTGTTTGCACTAGGGACAGTGGCGCGGAGTAGTCGCGTACCACTTGTCGAGAACCGCCTTCCAGCTGCAAGTGTTCCCGATAACGCTGAGCGTTCAGCTCATGGTTGTGCTCGGCCGCCTTCTTCGCGAACTGCAGCCAGATGGAATCAAGATGTGAGGCCGTGTCTGTATGGCATGCGTGCACCTCACCGCTCTTCAGGGGCAGGGGCAGTTGCGCTAGATGCCCGAAGTGGCTGACGACGCGATCCGCCGCTAAAAGGGCGGCAAGCCCGCTCGCCCCGATCGTGTGAGCGTGCGGGTGCCCGCCGTGCTGGGGCAGCGGTGCTGAAGACATGGTGTCCGAAGTCACCGAACGAGCAGACGAGAACTTCCGTCAAACCGGTAGTCGTCGGCGGCACCGACTCTCTTCGGGCGCGATTTCCGCGCACTTCGCTAAAGGCAACTTCGGATCACCCTCTGTACTGAGGAATCACCTCCTGGAGGTGGAGGATTCTCGGTACTTCTTATCGCGCACACTCGTCACGAGGCGCTCGGGCTCGGCCGATATCGAAGGGGCGCTTCTACAATTGGACGATCGGGGCTTTTCCGGGAGCTCGGAACAGATTATCCTCGGATGGGGTTTTTTTCGATGCGAAGCTGTAGGTGATGCTCAGAACCAGATTGTCACACGGGTTGTCGGAGTTGCGCACGCACCTCTTTAGGAAACACTCACAAATCCCACTTGAAGCACTGAATACCGTCGAAGAGTCACTCACAAGAATGTCAAACTTCACTGAAAGTCACAATCAGACGGAGACGAGAAGTCACACTACTTAATCCTTTAGCCGTTGAATCTACGAAGTCTGCCCTGCCGGAGTTCCTCTCTCGACAGCAGATTCACGCGACGAAATTTTAAGATGCATGCTGGACGAGCATTCGAGCTCTTCCGAAAATTTCCGTTGGAGTATTTGACGAAGTTCACTAGGAGAAGTCACCGATTCCGTTTCGGGCACACTGTAAACGACAGACGAGACGAGTGGACGCAGGTACGGAACAGATGTCCGCAGCGGTTCGCTGCCAGAAGGCGAATGGCCCAGTGGCCGGTGGAGAACCGAGGATCGGATGTGGATCCTTTTCTTGATTCGTCGTCGTTCACTTTCTTCTGAAGTCAGACCACGGGTTTCGGTCTTCGGCAACAGTTCTTCCTTCTTCTCTCCAGCTGTTCCCTCAGCCACTTCTGAGCGAACAACGAAAGCCGCCGCGCTGCTACGTCTGCCGGAGTTACAGCCCCGTCGGAAGTTCGCTCACTGGATGGCTGGCTGGTTCGCTGGGCGGAAGAAGAAACCAACCACCAAGCCTGTGTTACGACGGCTATCCCCGTCCTATCCGCCAGCGTTGCCGCCGCCACCGCCGCCGCTGCTGCTATCCAGTAGTAACGATGTCTTACGCGGGCTGACCTACTTCTCCAGCGGCATCGCCGGCGACTTCTTCTTTTTTTTCGCCGTTCTTCAACGGTAACGGAGAAGAAGCGCTTCTGCAGTCGGAAAGCAAGCAGCCAACCAGCACCAATACGGCTTGCCCGAGCCGACTAACCGCCGCCCATCACATGCCGGGTAAACACACGGACACACAGAATAGCTCGGAGCTGGAATACCGCGCTGAATGCCCCGCCGGATGTAACACCACCACCGCCAGCCACTGCTTGCAGCCGAAACGAGCCACTGCCGGGTTCGTTCGACACGGCCAATGCAGCGACACTTGCAGCCGAACAATACCGGACCGACCAACGGATGAACACGACCGCAAACCACTAATCCTACGGGATAGTCGGTCAACTCAAAAGACCATGCCGGCTTCCGGACGCTCGAGTCCGGCACTTCTTGAAAAGGAGCTCCATGAGCTCTTGTCTGCCTCCTAGTTCCCGCCCGGGAAGTTACTTCTAGATGATATCTGTAGAGCGATCGAATCACCTACTAGACTTCAAGGTGTATCTACTACTTCTTCGCCGACATTTTTCTTTGTTCCGGACCTCGTCCGGACATCAGAAATCGGGAGCACGAGGGGCTCCGGATCGTGAGAAGGGACTGGCACGATCGAGAGCTCGTAGACAGCGAGAGAGGAATTGAGCTATCGATGAGCCGTCCGCCATGCCTTGGATATGTCGTTTCGCAACCGAAACGACTGTATAGGTTTTCGTTGCAAGTTTCAGAACTCTTGCCCCTCAGTATCCCAAGAAGAGGGTTTGAAGGACCGGAGACGGGAGGAAGGCTCACGAGGTGATATGAAATGAGTCTCGTATTCTGAACACAAGGGTCTCTCGCGTCGTGTCCCCCGGTCCGGAGTGATTCAGCCTCTCGAAGAATTGTGACTCCCGATGGGGGATTCTGGAATCTCTCCGAATATGTCCCTAATATGATAGATCCTTTGACGAGGTTTATTCCCTTCGACTTCTCTGATCACGGAAACATTCCAGGACGATATCATGCTTCGGCCTCGGAGATCTTCGGAGCATCTACCTGTGGGAACAGAGAACCCGATGACGGGATTCTGAACGTGCGGTTCGCCGTATCGACCACCGCAAACCCACCAATGAGATCTTGGACAGGGGGAATTTCGACCCGACATGATTTGTGAAAAGATGTTTTCATTAACTACAAAAATTGTTGTCCAGATGATTGCGCTTGCGAAAAAGTATCTACAGGAGCAGCGAGGCATCCAGAGAGTGAGTGAGCTGCGGAGAACCGCTCGTATGAGAACAGATGGATAGACACACGGATTGATGAACGGACGGACGAGTGGACGGACGGACGAGTGGACGGACGGACAGACCAACGGGCGGACACGGCAGCCAGTCGACCCCGCCGGAATTTCGGTTCCTCGTTCCTTTGCTCATGTTAGTTGAAAACTTCGCGAATAGCAAAGGAGGGAAGCGACCACTGGTTACATAAACAAGTCGTGGACGGCTAGAATAAATATCCCGTAATCCAGAACGCTGCCTTCTCCGTCACCGCTGCCGGCACAAACGTCTTCCGGTGTTGTTCGGTGGAAATATCTCACTCCGAGGAAGAGCGATTTTTTTAGTAACACGCTTGCTTGTCTCATCGCAGCTGGCTCGATGGTTCGTGATTCTGAATGATGAGCCGGCCGGTCCGTCATCCGGAAAATCCGTTCTCTTCAGTTTCTAATTCAGTTCCTAATTACTTCTACCGATTTTTCTCGTGGGAAAATCGCGATATCGAAGCTCGGCCGCGGAACTTAGCTCACTCCGAGACAACGGGCGATCGATAGAGAGACGCGGAAGTTTTGTACTCTCGATCCCCAGAAACTCATGAAATCGAATGGGATCGAGCCGGATCCAAGAGAGTATTCGAGTCTAGCTCCCGGGGGTCCTCTCTCAGCATGGAGACCATGGGCTCGGAACACCATCGAACGAATGAAGAGCGGTCTTGAATTTCAAGCGGCAGAATGAAGGGCCAGTGTTCGAGATTCCTACGGAAGGGTTCCCCGGAGCCAATTGTCATCAGGGGAATAAAAATCGAACGCCAGGAAATCCACCGCGGGAGCATCGAGCCTCAACATCTGAAGTTCGCATCGGTTGAGGAAATAGTCGCTTCTTTCTGAGGGCGACCGATAGCAATCCACTTTCCCTTTTGCCCCAAATCATTGTACGGGGTCTTCGCCCCTGGACGTGTTTGTCCGTCGGGCCACTGACTTGTCGAGGGATCCTCTTCCGGGGCAAGCGAAAAAGCACTCGTTGTTCCGCTAGAAGCAGATGAAGCCAACGAAGAAGAAACAGACAGGGAATCAAGCGACAGAGTCGTTGCCCTGCTTGCCCCGGGACCGCCTCCCTTAGCCGGTTTGCCGGGTGGCCGGCCGGTCGGTCGGTCGCGGGATTGCCCGCCCGCTCGCCCGCCCGACCGACCGACGTGGAACGGTAGGCACCGGCAGCGTTGGCAGAATGCAGCAGAGAAACTTCACGGAGTGTTGACCCACTTCCGGCCTCTGGGTCAGACCGGCGGCGACAATAGGGATCGCGTCGGAAAAGACGTAAAAGAAGATTGCTGCACTGAAGAAGAAAATCTGAACCCGGTGCGTTCACTTGCGTTCGACTGAAACGTGAGGCAGAACCACTCGACAGATGGATGGACGGACGAACTGACGCCCGGACGGATGGACGAACGTGAAAGCTCTTCTGAAGCGCGCCGACTTCGCTCGGCGGGCCCGGGCTGGTTGAGATGACTTTCCATCGGTCGGCGGCAAACCAACCACTACTCCACCGGCGAAGCAAACGTAGCCGCCATTCAGTCCGTCAGCAAGTCAGTCGACTGTGGTTAGTCAACGCAAACTGTTCCGTCTGGTGATGCGGTAATGGTTACGTCGTCACAGCGAAATCTCTTCTTGCTCCCAAGGCTTTATTATTGATACAGCATCATCCAGAGGATGGAGCAGTCCGATATTCGGACTTTCCTCGAGACGAGATTCCCATCCCATTAGAGAAATGTTCAGAAATATTTCCGGCAACAGTACGCAGAACTTTCTCGAATGCATGGTCGGCTCCTGATCCATTCGCTTGATCTCATACTCCGTTTCAACAAACATGCCCGGATCACTCCCAGGCTTCGAAGGCCCGAACGCGGAAATATCGAGATACCGATCCGGCTCCCGATATCAAAATGCTGCTCCGAAATTAAATAGCGAGATCCGACTTATGTCACCAACCATCATTCGGGATAATATCGAGCCGGAATCCAATTTCGGGCGAAGCCCGGCTCTCCCTTCAATTATAATTATCTATTCTCAACAAAGTATCACGGCGAGATTTATGCGTCGGCGGACGCCCCTGCCGTGGACCTCATACTCTCAATCACGCGGTATTCCTCCAAATAGATCGTCTCTCGCGCCCTCTTGCTGATGGAATTCCGTTGGGGACAATCCAGTGGACGTAACGTGATTCGATGAATCACGGAAACACGATATACTTCGCCTCTGGAGCTTCGAAAATAATAATTTCCGGAACTTTTGAAAATTTTCCCAGCGACATCTGCGGCCAAGATATTGTCACAGGGTTTCTGGAGCGCACGAGAGCTGGGAAGAAACTGTGGCATCATGTGTTCAGATGACCCGGATCTTATGGGAGCTCATTCTCTCTCGAAGGGTTAGATTCTGCAGCATGGACGCCTCACGCTCGCTGCGGCCCTCTTCGGCAATCGGGTGCTCATTTCTGTTCACGAGTCGCAGAGACAATAAGTTCCCAGTGGTCCCGTAATAAATAATGCGAACAGACATCACGCTCTGGGTTCCGGCAGGGGCAGGAAGTGAACGGGTATATTGTGCATAAAAAGACCAACGAGGAAAATGGGGCCTTGTTGACCCGCAAAAACCCACAACTGACCCTTCTGCTGTTGACAGAAGTTCGTCCAATCATTCGTCCGCCCGGCTGTGTAAGCGTGCGAGGGGAAGCGGCCCAAAACCAGCGGAGTCACAAAGCGAAAGGAAACGGCGAGCCGGAGCCCGAAGTGCGGGAAAAAGGAAGCTCTTTTTGTGCCACCGAAGACGTCGGCGCTGACGTTCAGCAGAGCACTGAACGACGCCGGAAGTTTGGAGCCGGGCAAGCTGAAGCGGAGTCGACATCGTTTTTTGTGCTTGCTGAAGATGGAAGAAAACGTCGGAGCAAACGGAGAATCGGCGGATGATGCCCATCGCAGCGGAACAAACAGACGACGAAAGATGGATGATTTCTGAAAGGAGCGCCTAATTGACGAGCTTCGGGGGACGCGCTCCGACAAGCAGCTCGACGATAGCCGAACGCCTCCCCCCGATTCGACAGTTTCTTTCTCACAACTTCTCTCAGCATTAGGACGGAGAGTACGGGGGAAGGGGGCTCCGGTGGGATGAGAATCAATCGATTCTGCCTGTCATCGAGCCTGTCGACTGCTTTTCGTCGTTCTCTTCTGTGGATGATTTCTCCGATCACTGGTCTCTCTTGGACTGTGAATTTCGCAGACCGGAGAAAACGACGCATCGTACGGCAAACTTTGAGAATTCTCTCCTGAAATCTGAAAATCCAGAGATTCTGCGGTGGACGCGGATACCGACGTTGTTTTCAACGTGTTGGAAGAGTCACGACTTCGTTGCCGATGCCGTTGATGATGAGAACTGTTCCACTTCCCGGTTGAAAGCGAGGAAACGATTGTTTGCGGGGCGTATGCTGAACAAACGACAAGAATCCGTCCGGAGCAGACTTTTCGGGAGGGGCGCGAATTTCGGACCAAATCTGGCAAGACATCAGAAGCAGATCGTTTGCCACAGTTTCCCAAAGGAACATTTAGATAGTGGATTCTCCGTGCCGAGTGAATCAGTCCATCGTTTCCGGATTAGACGAATCGTACATACGGGGAAAATCGCTGATCATTTGGGCTGCGCCCTCGAGCTGCACCGAGGAACCCACGAGGAATCCGCGGAAGGAAAGGGGGTAGAAGGTCCCGGCGAGGAATTATCAAGAGATGCTCGAACCGTCATCCATTCTCCGGAAAACCGAGATTATCGCGATCGACGCTGAAGCCCGAATGATAGTATATGGCGTCTGGCTACGGGTTCACAAAAACGAGGCAGATGTCAAAAATCATAACATTGGGATCTATGTTATAGAAAGATGAACGAATTACGCTTGCTTCTATCTGGGTGCAATTGTCCCAGGCGAACATCCTCAAGAACCTCGTCACGAGGCAGGCGTTCCAGCCTCAATCTATAACATCTAGCCTCCGTTCCAGTCAGAATGGACCTCTCGACTAGAAGGAAAGACCCAACGCGAGTCAAGGGACAAGATGGGAATCGAATCGCATATGGAACATGATTTTCCTCCGACGACTCGACATCTCTCGCTCGCGACGGGACCCGCTCAAGAACCTAATGTACCACCTCGGGCGGAGTGACTATGTCCCTTCGCTCAAGCTTCCCGGGGAGATCGAGTGAGGATCTCAGCCCCATCGTCCGTAATCAGGACCGTGTGTTCGAATTGCGCGGTGCGCGACTTATCGAGCGTCACGGCAGTCCATCCGTCCTCGAGGACAGCAATCTCATCTTCTCCTTCCGAAATGACGGGCTCTGTAAGATATTCGAGGATCACAAATCGATCCAGGAAACGGATTGAATATCACGTTTCACAATTCGGTGCTTGTAATTGGTGTTCCTCACCGATCGTGAAAGTCATTCCAGTTTTCATAACCTCATCCGAGTCGTGCTCTGAAAATCCAGGAACGGATGGCATTATTCGGTGTTCTCATTCGAAATTTTCGCCTGAAAGGAAATTTGTGATCTCACCGAAGTGAATTATCGTCGGCGGGCCGTGGAAATAAGTGCCGATTCCGTGGCCGCAGAAGTTCGGTACAACAGAACAATTCGATTCTTCCGCACGGTGCTGTATGGCATCGCCGATATCGGATAATTTCGCACCGTTCCTGGAATATGGACAGATCTGGCAGCGTCGCATCAGTGTCTCAAGAAAGATGCGTCAAACCGGATGTCAGCACCGCCCAATTATCATTGTTTTCTAATATAAATAATAATAATAGTTATTTACAATTATACAACACAATTTATAATATGAATGATGATGAACTCGGATGGCTTCGTAGCGACAACGAACCATCCGCGGGAAGAGCGGAACTGTGTACAGGCATTGAACTCCTTTAAGGTATTCACCTGCAAACGGCGATGCCGGATTCGAGACAATATCTCGCGGTTTCCACAAGGTTCCAACCCTTCTCGTCGAGCGCACCGACCGCGAATGTTTCTGCACAGTCTCCGTGATAGCCATTCAGGAACACCTTAAATTTATCGTGAGAATTAGAACCGATGAGAGGAAAAATGAAATCTTCTCCCCGGTATCGAACTTTTTCATCGATCTCTCAATAACCGAACAAGACGCGCCGTGCATCCGACGGGCTCTCCGTCTCTCTTGCTCGAAACTCACGCTAACGTCGACGCTGATTATGTCACCTTCCTTCAGTTTTCTGTCATCCGGGATTCCGTGACACGCAACATTATTGATCGATGTACATATCGACTTCGGGAACCATTTGTAGTTCAAGGGGGATGGGTAAGCGTTGCGTTCGATGCAGAACGAGTGAGCGAGTTTATCGAGCTCGTCCGTGGATATTCCGGCCTGCGGTGAAGTCAATAAGGATGAAATTCCGCGCTCGAGTTCAGATCGCGGGAAAAGCTCCGCCGGAGGAAAACTGACCTCGATGTTGTCGCCGATTTTATCCAAAACCTCTCGGGCGACTCGGCAGGAGTCTCTGAGCCTTTTGATCGCATCGGGAGTTTTGATCTCAACTTCCTCCAACGACTCCAATACGATGCCCGACTATGAAGGAAACGAAACGTAATTGACTACTTCGGGTGGAATTGAGGCAGGGAGCTTCTGTTTCATTCGAAAACCAATCGGTCGTCCGACTTCCCTCCAACTCCCGGAGCTGTCAAGGCCTGAGGGAGTTGCGACCCGCTTGGGACCCTACCTGCGCGTAATCCGGCTTCACGATATGGTCGGGAACGCGTAGCGTGGGACTTACCTGCAAAAATCGATACACGACGCGCAATTGAGCACAATATTCTCCAAATATTCTCTCGTCGGTGTTCCGTAATACCCCAGTATTGCACGTAGTCCGACGATCCCGACCACAGTTTCGAGAGATCCCTGGCGTGCCAGCGTGAATCCCATTCATTTAGGTACTCACTTCGGTGGGGATGACAACATCGTAATTGAGGAATCGCTGAGACCGTTTCGAGTTGTCTTTCGTAAGTGAAGTTATTGTCCTCTGAGGTATCCGGAGGAGGCTCGCTAACCTGGCAGACGACATTCTGCGAGAACGGAAAAACGCTGTCAACGACAGGGGTCACACATGAGTCAAATTAATCTTCATCTGGACACTATGTCTCTAAAAGAAGTTCTCTCTATCCGGGCCTCGGCATACGGAGTACAGTGTGCCGTCCGGTGGATCCGGACCCTTTTCGTACCTCGAATGCGACGCTCAGTCTCGTCAATGAGTCTGGACGTAGGTACCTCTTAGCCAGTGGTGCCCGAATCGATCATCCTCGGTTTCGAATTTAGAAGCTGAAGCGTCAGAAACTTCATGCAGGGAACTTCGCAATCAGAGTCCCTCTCTTCCACTGTGCCTCGCGATCAGCTGTTCCGATGGGAGAGGTCTCAGGAGAGCCGCGCTCTGTACGTGCAAGTAACCTCGGCCGATGGCTTTTCTCTTCGATCAATATTGACTGCAAGAGAACCGGGGACGGATTGTCAGGTCCAGGTTTGGAAGTGCATCCACAGCTCCGATCGTCCTAAGCGGTCAACTCTGAGCGCGTGGGCTATCGAGGGCCGAGACCCCAGCGCGGGAGACCGCCGTCGCGATCATTCCCACTCCGTGTCGTTTCCCAATGTGACACTCCAAGCTTGCGGCGATTCATCATTCGAAATCGGCACCTAGCAAGACTCATGCATGCTTTCCGGGGTCTCAGGGAGTTTCTCAGTTTGTTAGGAATATCCTGATGTGGCCCTTTCCTCATAGTCTCTCCGACTCGCCTTCGATCCCGGCTGCCGGAGGAGCTCGCGCACGCCAACCTCGGCCCCTCCGGATATGGATCCTCCTAGGAATCAAAATTTCGGCAGGAGGGGGAAGGGTATATATCTGTACAGCAAATGAGACCGAGCCGTGGTTCGTGGAAGTTTGAGAACCAAAGGTCCGCTTGATCACGGCAGCGGAGAGAAGAGCCGCCCGGAGGCTCTCGAATCATCAAGAAAATCATCAACATCATCGCTTCTTTCTGGGGGCGATTTATGTCAGACCAATTTTTTCTCCCGCTCTTCCAATGCGGTATTGTCACAACTCGGATTGTCTTGACCATACGTTCGAGGATTCACAAGCGAGTCGTAAAAAACTTTCAGCCCAACAGGCTTGGCACTCCTCATGAGGAGAGCAGTCATCGTCGTCGTCGCCGCGGCCACGACGGGTGAGAGTGTCGCTGCTGCTGCTGCTACGACTGATGTTGTTGTTCATCACCGCCGCCAGCCGCCACCACCAACAACGGCGCTGTTTGAAGCAAGACGGTAGTGCTGGAGGAGACCAGATACTTGTAGTGGGGAATACGTTATTCCCGCTTAGTTAGAACCGTAGTGAACTGTTGAGTCAGTTCTGTGGCTGAGACACTTCCCATAATGGGGAGCAAAAAACATAAGAAACATTCGAAAGGACGCGATGAAGGTGAGGAGATCCTAAACCGCCGTTTGATGTTCCGTTCTCTCCCTAGGTGATCAGACGATGAAGAGATCGCGGTATCGTTTTATTTACTTTTGTCGTTCCACTGGATTGTCGCACAGAATCCCCGAGTCCGTCCCTCGGCGAGATACCTGTCTCTTATGGGGCTTCTGCATGAAATCGATGTGGCGAATAGAAAGAGATCCGATCATGAAGCGTCAACTCGGTGAGCTGGCTCGCTGTCGATGTTGCCACTGCTCACTCGGTATCCTAGAGCCCGCTCGTTGGGAGAGTCGATCTCTCCGTGACAAGCTCCCGAGAGCCTTGGTTTCCTCCCGGACGGGAAAGTCTGCTCAATGATACGGCTGCACCGGAGGGAGCCGGTTCCGGAGGATGGTTAGGCTTAGGCGTGAAATGACGTTCGGGAGCAGGAAAAACCTTCTGTATACCGATTCAGCCTCTCTGACACCGGGGAAACGGAAACGAGGGACTTCTGCGCTACGATACGGTCACTGCGGCGTTTCGACTCTTTCCAAAGCGCCATCAGCCATTTGAGCGCCAGAATCTCTCGCTATGGAGAGCGACCGGGAATGGAACATCACGGAGCGGGAATGGGGAAGACAAAGACTGCGGTCTAATCGAAAGCTGAATTTCATCTCAAAGTCCCAGCAAATCGTTCCTCGCCCAGGACTTTCCTGCGCACTCTGCTCCAACGGCCAGCCCATAACTTAAGAAATACGCTTCTCTTGCAGATTCACCTGGTCCGCCGGTCAGCAGTCAGCCCCAGCAGGCAACTCCCATCAAGTTGGTGCTGAAAATGGCAACCGGTTCTGGAGTCGCAGCTGTGAACTCGACGTTGCCCGCAAGCTCGGCCGGAGCCCACACTCCTTCGAATTTCGGAGGATCCTCGGTGAATAATCACTATGTCGCGAACCCAGGAATCTCAGTCCGGCTCGTGTCGGACTCAGCTATACCGCAGGCTAGCGGGTCCGACAGAGCTTGTCCATCGGGTCCCGTTTCTGTGAGAAGGCTCGAGAATCCCAGTGTACCGAGCACGGCCGCGTCGGACAGCTTCAGCGAAAGTTCATTTCATACGAAGAGGCATAAAAGCAGAAGTTCAGACAAGAAAAAGAAGAAGAAACATAAGAAACACCATCATCACTGTCACCATCATCACAAGGACCACCACCATAAGCATTCCCATCATTCGTCGTCGACGTCGTCCGCCTGTCGAGACGGCGATAAACGTCGAGATCGTCCTGAAGATGACGAAGATTACGATGATGATGACCGCGACGACAGACCGCCCAAGAAACGGCGACTGATTCCCGTCACCGAGTCCGTGGACAATCAGCCGCCGCTCCCGACTGTACCGTTACGCACTCCGGTGGGTGTGATTCCACCGGAAAAACCGCCGCCGACCGTCGATCCTTCGTTGCAGAAGCTACTCGGAGTGCTGCTCAATATCGTTCAGGAGCGTGACAGACTGGAGTTTTTTGCGTGGCCCGTGAGCGACGTCATTGCTCCCGGATATTCGAGCATCATTCAGAGTCCCATGGACCTGAGTACAATGAGACGGAAGCTCGAGCACCTCGAATACAAGAGTTTGACCGACTTTAGGGCGGATGTCAAGCTAATTTGCGATAATGCTTGTCAGTACAATGCGGCGGACACCATTTACTACAAAGAAGCCAAAAAGCTTTGGAGGAAAGTTCAGAAGCTCTTCACCCGAGAAGGGGTCATCCAGCTCGATCCCAATTTCGAGTACATCGGCAATCTGTCCGTGGACGAGTTGGGTTTCGACCTGCGAGAGACATCGCCCGTTGAGGAACCTGCGCCCAGAGTCACAAGAAATCGCATTAGGGTGACTGATGACGAGGAAAAAGTTGGTATCGTTCCCCCAATGAAGATATCTTTGGCAGCCAGCGCAGTGGAAGCTCCCCCAGTCGGGATCATTGCCGACCGACAGAGAGTCCAAGCCAGGGTGAGGAAGATTCGGGCTCTGAGATTTATTCTGCGCGAATCGATTCGAGTCGCAGGATTCCCCACTCCTCCCCCCCTAGCGGTATTCAACGACCTCATGGAATTCATCCATTACAGGACGAGCCCGACGCCGATATCAGTATACAGGCAGCAGCCGCTGCGTTCAAAAGTCCTGTTGTTAATGATTCACATTCCGAAGCGGCGCCCCTTCAGCAGTCTCCGACGATAATCACCGAGAGATTCGATGCCAACAAACGTTTGGAGAAAGAGAGACCCCGAGCTACGAGTCCGAGTGTAGCTAAAAAATCCGATCCCAACGACCCCGAAGAGTGAGTATCTAGATTGTCAAACAAACAGTAAGCTTTGAGGTCCTAGAGTCTGAGGTCTGAACCATGATAACAAACCCCGCGGAAAAGAGCCGTGCAGCATCGACCCGTGAGGCTGTCTACTTCTGGATGAACGATCAAGTTCCAAGCCGGGCTCTGTGATTGAGTAGACTGCCCCAGAACCTTTCGCCTGGAAAATCAATCGATCGATCCGAAGAAATTGCCTAATATTGTGTATTCCGCTTCCCTTCCCAGCTTCGCAGACCTCACGCCACCTCCCGACGATTCGCCGCCCGAGGTTATCTTGGCACACGCTCAGAAAATGGCAAGATTCGCTTCCCAGAAGCTCCGTAGATCTCGACCGAACACACAAATCCACATCGTGTGCTCGCCGGAACCAGGTAAGCAGATGTCCATATCGTGTGATTTTGCTGAACGGATCGAGAAAAGCGTCCCTCAGGATCCGCAACGTCGGCAATGGTCTCCCGACGAGTAGTGCTGACCTTCCGATATCTCCTTCAGGCTCTACATCATTGAAATTCATTAATCCGGACGTCACACTGACTGAGAAATATCTCGGATGGAGACCGAAGTATCCCCAAGTGCCCGCCGAGGAGATCGATCTTGAAATGCTCATCGGAAAATTGCCGTACGGCATGGCATCACTGACAGAATTCAAGGACGATACGAGAAACGTCGCAAAACCCATCAATTACCTGCCGCTCGAAAGTGGGCCACCGTTTTCGACCTACGCCCCACATTACGACTCGACGTTCTCCAACCTCACAAAGGTACCCTGACCCATATCGAGGCGTCGTAAATGAGCAAATCCACCGCCGGGCCGTAGTAGCCAGAGAATGAGAGAAGAAACGCGGAGCTGACTGAGTGTCTGATCGCTGAGTATCTATTAATCGATAGCCCCAACTCGATTTCCAGGTTGAAAGTGATCTCATTTACACCGTGTATGGAGACGAGATCGGTGTGCAATACGCCGAGAGCTTAATGCATTTCGCTAAGGATTCCGAAGAGACGAAGGAGAGGGTCGACGATCTTCTCGATTCTCTCACCGATGGGGAACATCGAAAAGCGGTTGACAAGATAAAATCGAGAGAACTCCTCCGGGACGACGATGACGAAGAGCTTTCCAAGCCGAGCATCGATCAAACTGATGATCTGCTGCCCGCCCGACTCAACGGCGACCACAGGTTAGTTTCCGTCGACAAAACGTCCTGCTCCTTGATTTCCCCCTGAGATTCATCTTCGAAGTTGCCGAGTAATTATTATGAAAACGACTATTTGCAATCCTCAGTGCCCAACCGGTGAGTTCGCCCAGCATATCGACGTCGGGAATGGCGGTCCACAACGAGTCCTCTCAGTCCCCTCTACCTGTGGCTGCTCCAGCGATGGGGAACGCACCTCCGGAGAACTCGACCGCGGCCATCGCTGAGGCTGAGGGCCCTTCATCGTCGAGGGTTGCTCTCGCTCAGGGTACAACGAACGGCGACAGCAATCATTCCGTAGCGGGAACCTTGGATGACGAAAACGAGCAGAAACTCCAATCGAAATTGACGGAATCGACGGAAATGATCGAGACGCTGACCAAGCTCCAGAAAGAACGCCTGAGCAAGGCACCACCCAACAATCTGGGCAACGTGCTCGGTCCCTCGCCCACGGAACTCGAGCTCGGTAAGTTCCCCTCCGTCTCCATCGTCTTGAACTATCTGTGAGCTCAAGGCCGTAGTACTGGATACGGAAACGGAAGTAGTTTCTAAATGCGCTCGTGTTTTCTCCCACAGCCGAAAAATTGGCGGCGACTCTGAGCGAGCTAGCGAGTCACGCCAAGCCGGGCAGCATCGTGAGCGTCGAGGCTATCCGGAGAGCTATGGGAATCACGTTACCCGAGAAGAAAGTCCAACCCATCGAGGAACCCTTCACGGAAGCGAAGTGATCCTGCGTTGATTCCGTCATTCACGGAAATACCTCAGAGTAATTCGATCGATCAACCGTTTGGTGTGGACTACCTACTTGACTTGTCCATTGTGAATAGCCACGGAAGTTCCAAAGTTGACAACCCACAGAGGATTGAACAACGTAGGCGAGTCCCAGATCAGCGCTTCCGCTCGGAAACGCGCTCTGGCCGAAACTGTTATCCATGCCTTCCATGTTCTTTCGCGTGTTTTTCCGGGGCTGGAAAGGGTCGGCGATTGACCTCGCGCAGAAGTTCTCCAGAAGTCTGCTGTGGTCGCGTCTCTATGAGAGCTGCGCGATTGCGCGCCGGCGGTCTCGGGAAGGCACCGACCAATTGTTCGAGTCGTCTTCAGGAATTCGAGTCCGATGAAAAAAGCAATTTCACCGAGAGTTTGTTTCCGAGTTTGTATTCTAGTAAATTTAGCACATTTGTTGTGGCGAAGTCCGGCCGAACTGTAAAATAGAAGTACATAAACTTATAGAACACTAATATTGACAGAAATAAAATCTCTATATTGCGCTTGTTCAGTCGAGGCTGCTCTCCGTTCACCGTTAGCTTCCCTGGTGGAAATATATTTTTGGGACGGCATGTAGCTCGGTTTTTTTTCCGGACTCGTCGGAAGTGTCCCTGCTCAAGGTTTGTATGATCCGAATTTCGACGCATTTTCCGTGCGAATGATGCCCCTTCGCGATCGAGTCCAAACCTTTCTCCGAGTGTTCACGCTTACTTGTTGTCATTCATTTTTATCTTTATCACGGTCACGCGTATCTGCCGAATTCTGCTCTTGTACCTCGAGTGCCAATATCACATTTTTGTTAAGTTCGAACTATCGCCCAGGCGGCTGTCGTATCGGGGTATCGCTCCGGAACAAGCCTCAACGGATTACCGACAAGAACATTCTCCGAATCTGACCCAGTGTCGGTCAGATCGTGGAAACGAATCGGAACTCGTCACCTGGAGTCGGACCAGAATCCCGGGGCGATTTGAACTGCGCCGGAAATTTCTGATGCCGGTGTGCAAGTAGTTCAGTGGACCGAAAAAATGAGCCAGAAACAGCTTGGTGGCACAAGCGACGCCACCCTTCACCACTGCCACCACCCCTTCCACCGTCAATAGCGACGACACTGATCGATAGTCGTGCGGGGCTTGATCATTTAGGCGCATGAGAGTAGCAGCGCCTCGATCCCTGCTTACTATTTGCTTGCTTTGCAAACGCGACAAACCTCCTTTCGAAGGTCCGACCGACCAAGCGTCTGACGACTGCTCGTCAGCAGGCCCCTATGTCGGCTCGTGTCCTCCAGCCGCTCCGTGCCTTCGTTCGTGTTAAGCAGCAGTACCCATCTTCCCTCTTCGGACTCGCTCCCTTCGAATCTCTGTCGGCCATATTCATGTTTTTGTCGGTCCACCTGGAATACAGGACCCCAGACGCAGCGCGCAGCCCTCTCTCCGTTTATCAAGGCGAACGCTGTCTCACCGCAGCCCTCTAGCTGGAGATTGTCGACGAGGGCTCTTGGAAGAATCAAGCACAGCTAGTTGCCGCTACCTGCTTCGGGTGCTATTCCCCAAGAAATCGACGGGCATACAGTCCCAAGTCCACCGGTGCACCGACCCGCCCGCTTGTCAGCCCGATTTACTTCGTGCGCTATTCTTCGATCGATTGCCGGAGGGACAGAACTTGAGTTGGAGGTGAATCTCTCGCGCGTAGTATTTGTCTGTGAAATCCACGGGGAGCCTCGGAGCATCGGTAAGCTCATGCGCGAGTGATTTTCGTTTTAAAAAGCTTAGGAAAAAGACACGGAAGGTGCCGTGTGCAGTTTTCCCTGTGGTCGTGTTCTCCATTCCGAGATTTCGGTAAATTATCCATTCCTCCTGGGCATTCCGGTCGGGAGTACCATTTATCAATATTATTCTCATCAACATCATATCATTATATGAATGAATCATCATCGATTATTATTGGTATTCCCAATGTCGATCAACATCTCGTCCTGATACCTGATACAATCGGTCGACGCGGACTGCTGGACGACCGCTCTCGCCGTTGCGGAATCATTGACCAACCCGGAATCAGATTCACGTTGACTGAATTCTCAGGACCCCTCGCTCCTCTGGACTAATTATTGTAATCAATGTGAGAAGCGGCGGAAGCGATGCGATTCGGCCGCGTATCATCGTGCGGGAGTATCAACAACAGAGTTATTCCGAAGTTCGCGATCGAGTACGTGCGCAGTGGTTCGCTCGCGGCGCGACTCTCTCAAGCGAACGGATGAGTTACCGGGCGAGCGGCCGGGCTCTTCGATGGCCGATTGACCATCCAACCGGTCCGTGCGTCTGTCTGACGTCCACACAGACGAATCAATACCGGATGATTTTGATCTGGCAATCACTGTTCCTCTCCTCTCTAGCGGTCATTTTCGCCGCCGTTTCGTCGAAACGACTACGACGTCGTCAACGACGCCATTGACTCACTCAGTCGTCTTTCATTTGGTCTGTCCGTATTTCCCTCGGACTGTTTTTCGGTCTGTACCCGTCGTTCATTCACTCAGTCAGTCAGTCAGCCAGCTCGTCGTCGTTCGAAACGCGCATGAAAAATGATCCGAAGAACTTATCTGTCGGCGATTGTTTGAAAACATCGCGATGACCGTGAATCAAGTAATGGCTTTTTCGGGTGAGAGTCTCCACGAAAGAGATCACCAAGGCAGCGGGAATCCTTCCGCGGAGAACATACGTCATCGCAAGATTTCAAGTCGGGGTTTCTACGCGCTTGCTAACTTCATCTGCCCGGGGCTGTGAAATACAGCTCAAGCTAGCAGCACCAGCCTCTGAGGAATAGGAAGTCGGGCTTCTCGGCTGATGACCGAGGACGCGCGCAATGTCCACGGAACAGGTCTCTCTCTCCCCCGTGAATCCGAAGCGAATCGATGCAGAGCGTGTACGTCTTTGTCGGAATCGGTCCAGATAGGGGTCCCGACTATCGGAACCTCTCGATTGGAGAGCAGGCTCCAAAGTTCCTCGCTTTCTCGCTCTGAGCTTCATTTCCATGAGGGTATCGGATCGTCGGAGGACCGACACGGTGAAGAGCTCCCTGAGGAGGACCTTCGCCCTCATCTGAAGGGGCCCCGGACGCAAGTCCTGGGGCGCCCTTGCGTAGAGATGCAGATCGAGAGCCTCTCCATCGAAAAGCAAAAAGCGAATAAATAAAAAACGAAAAGTATCCAGAATCCCCTCCAAGTCGAGACCCGTATTCCTATTCGTGGAGCGGTCCGTCTTCGAGGGAAGAAAGCTGCACTCGTTCAGCGGTGTCAGTTTACGGTGGCCGATGCTGTCGGAACGATCTTGAGAATTTGTTTCGTGACGTTGTATTACACACAAATCCTTTGGCTTTCTTCTCGGCACTTCAGGCTGTGCACTTGTTGGACGCTCTGAACAAGCACCCGTACGATACGGTTGATGGTTTATCATGATCTACGGTAGAATGAGTAACGGGAGATTTGTGATTGAAACTTTTCCGCGAAGCTGTCAATGACGAGGGACTCATATAATATTTGGTTACGAATCTCGGCGTCTTTTGATGGGAACAGATCTCGACACCCTTGAGCTAGTTCTGGAAAGGGCGCACAGAGAAAGCAAGTTCTCAATCGCGACGTATAGCGTCGCTGCCGACGGCGACGAGTCTGGCACGGCGTCGACGAGCTTCTTCCCGTGTACTAGGTCATCCATTCATGTTTGTCTCCGACCGCTTCCAGGTAGCTTTCGACGAATCGTCCCCGGGAAGTGCTAAGGATGGCGCGACCAAACGTTGTAGTACCGCTGCTTCTCTTCATTACTTCTGGTGAGATTGGAATACGGCCTCGGTTATCCAGTGGAGGCCCATATGAAACCAAGTTTAGATTCCCATTGTACTGCCGGCTCGCTTTTCGGTCTATTTTGACATCCTCGTGTCAGTTTACCAACAAGATCATATCTATTTCCATAGCGCTATAAAATCGCCGGCAACGAATCTTGCTTGCGCGTCGAGCTGACTTGAGACGGATATCGAGATACGATTTTCATAGATAGATAAAAGATAGATTCACTTTACGTCGGCAGTGGTTTGGTTGAGTGCCCAGGCAGGAACAGACATCCCGCCTTGCAATCCAGACACCTGTGAAGAACAGTGCAATGCCACAGCAAGTACGTATGGCGAAAATATCACCCTGACCCATCAGTGCAACAAAGCGTCGGGTAAGCGCATAGATCTACTCGACAGTTGCGAAACTTCAAGAAAACCCTTGGACTACGGGCTTTTTATTCCACCCCGGGGCGCCACGGACTCCGAGGGAGCTACGTTCAATTTCTATTCTCTCGCAGGTCGATGCATCTGTTGTGTTTTGCCGGAATGCGAGGCAACCTGTCAGCAGCGGCGGAAGAAAGAGCGACCACGCTCGAAGGATGTAAGACTGAACGATCCTTGGATATGACTATGAAACCAGCAGTCTCGATCTTAATAAATTTTGAGGCTCCGAGTCAATGCATGGGTCGATTTGAATCTTTTCAGGTTCGCAGCCGATGCAATGACAAGGGCGAGTGCTATTGCAACTTCATTTTCTTCGAAGACGATACCCGGCCGTCCTCAGCACCCAAGCTAACCGTATAATATCCAAAATGTTCTGTCATTGTGATAATGGTCAGAGGAGAAGGAGAGTATAAAGTACTTTTGTGGGGCCTGAAGTTTCTTCGATCGACCCCATGGCTTATAGAGTCGAGACATGAGGTCCCTTCCACACAGATTAGAGCCATATAAGTCTGAAACGAGAACCTACTCTGTGGTATTCGCTCCTCTCCTTCGTCCTGAATCAGAGGAATCTCCCGGGACCCCACAACTTGAATATGACACCTCATCTTTGTGATTCGTGATCAAGCTGACGGGGTTCGGAGCTCGTCGAGACGTAAATTACGTGGACCATCTGGAGGTATTTCTCTCCTTCCGTGGGCGATGCTGGATTGATGCATGTGCGTGGGCCTAAGAATAGGGCCAAGGGACCCAGAAGGATTGAGCGTCGCACACGCAGGGCATCTTCTCCCGCTACTCCCGACAGTCACACCCGTATTGTCGAGCTGGTCGTTCGCAGCTCAAGACGCTACGAGAGAACCGGGATTAAAGAGCATGAATGTAGAAACTCTGATTCCGCGGGACGATTCCATACGCGGGAGATTCTGTCTTATTTCAAGGCGCTTATCTTACGTCAAAATGGAATTCAGAGCGATCTGTTTCCCGACTGACCGAGTATTCGAGCGCGACGCTGATCTGGCAGGTTGTTCCTGCGTATTTTATGCGCCGACAACTGATTTCATCTTAAAACTAGAGTTATCCGAGGGCTCGCGAGGAGAAGTCTTACATTATGGAGCTGAATCTGACTTTCATCTCGACACAAACGAAGCAAAAAGAGACTCTAGTATTCCCAGAAAAAATTATCATTTCGAGAAAATTTTGATTCTCTACTGCTCAGAATCGGCGTCTATCAGCGTGGCTTTGAGGAGTACGACTCCGGATGGATTGACCTCAACGGTGAGATTATCGCCCGGCCGAAGCACACCGATCAGACGATTATTGGCGAAGAGATCTGTAACGTAGTAACCGCGCCCCGAAGAGAGTCCGAGCTGATCTGAAGCGCACAGGGTGTAAGGTGAAGGGGCTCCTCCCTCAACGCGGTTCATGATTGCGAAAACACGAGATGTGGAAGGTTTTCGGTTCGGCCGCACGGGTCGACTATAGACCTCGAAGTCTCCGCTTTTCTCCACCATCGAGCCCATTATACCGTCACTGTCCTGATTCACTGCGATCACGTGACGGTTCAGAAGAATCTCCCTTTCAGCGCGACCGATTTTCTCGAGATCATTTGACATGAGGAGCGGTGACGCGAAAATCGCCCACAAGGCCATCTGGACTCGCGCCTGGTCCAAACTCAGTCCGAAGTTCCCGATGATGAGCTTTGGAGAAATGGGGGGAGGTTGAATTATGCTGTCAAGCCCTCGGGCGATTCTGAACTGAATGATCCGCGGGTCTCTCACCATGTCGGGGTCGTGGAAGGCGCCGGGCTTCGCGACTTGAACAAAGGTGCGCTGATTGGTTTTATAGAAGTCGATTATCGACTTCACTGAAGTCCACGCATCATCGATGTCATTGAAATTCCTCCAGATGTTGCAATGCTCCTGGATGGACTCGTAGTCGAGCTGAGGAAACAAAAGAGATCAGGTGAAGACGACCTTAATCGACTTCGATGACTCATAAATGATTCTCTCTGAATGAACCACCAGCGTCTCGAAAATTAGCCCTCACTTTTTTTCCGATCAGATAAGCGGGCCAACTACAAGAATAAAGAATCGGACGACCCGTCTCGTTCAAGGCTCTCGTCATCTTCGGGTAAACTAGGAAAGAGAGACTTCCGTTCAGGGCGAATTGTACTCAGTGACTGATCCTTCCGAGAATTTACTTCCTAGCTCAGGATCAGGATTCTCACCGTCCGCCATGGCGTCTGTATCGAGGTAACAGCCGTCGAGTTTTAGCATATCCACCCCCCACTCGGCGAATGTTTGAGCGTCGACGTCGAAGTAGCCTTCGCTGCCGGGATAACCTCCGCAAGTTTTCGTCCCTGCATCGCCGTAGATTCCGAGCTTTAGGCCGCGGTCATGCATCTGGGAGAATTCGGGAACAATTTCTCGGTGGAGCTTATACGGAACCCACGAATTGTATGAATCAGAAAATAGATGCGATTGGCTGGCGCAACGTTGTATATCTCGATTGGAAGAAGTCGACTCGAATTCGCCTACGTATTCTGCCAGAGCTGCTATTCCGTTGGGAAACCTCGCAGGATCTGCGACGAGTCTGCCGGTCACATTGTCACGCTCCAATAGACTCCAGCAATCGTCTACGTTAACGTACTCGTAGCCGACGTCACGGTAGCCGTCTGCGATGAGTCTATCAGCCATCCTCTTGTAAAGCCCTTCGCTACGAAAAAAAACCTAGTTACTAACTATTTAGAGGAACTTGGTGGACGATCAAACTTCTCGGCTTGGTCTCAGTTCAACTACCGTTGTATCACTTGGAAAGAATTCGGATGCGTACCTTATGCAGTCGTTGGGTCGATTTTTGCAGTCGGTGATGCACCTGTATCGTTGCCATGACAGCCAACCCATCGGAGGAGTCCGGGCGAGCCCATTTTCCAGAGCGATCGCTCCCGCAATTAAAAAAGGGAAGAGCACTAACGTTGCCGATCTTGTCATTTTGCCCAGTGTAAGCGTCGCTAGGGACAGATTGGGGGCGAAACTATCGGGTACAAGAATATATATCCTCGATTGAGGCGGCCCGGTGACGCGCACCGGATTTAGGATGGACTACCGGGGTTTAACCGGTGATTCCCGCGCCCAGCACAACATCGAGTGATCTTCCGGTAGGATTAGCCTAGTTCGAGATCCTGGGTGTCGTGCTTGATCTCGGGGCAGAGTGCCGCCACTGCGTAAATTCGGCCCGGAACCCGTTATAAGGTCAGCATTCCTGAAGTCTACCGAACTCTCCCGCTTCTGCCAGACGGAGCAGAGATTTTTCGAGAGCAAGGATTCCCGGGGCGACCATCCGTGGGCGCCCCAAGATCCTGTGAGCGAAGCGATCAATTGGATGATACACCTGTTCCCTGCTGGATCGCCTCTAAGCATCCTGAGACCATCTGCAGCACTGAATCCAGTCTCGGAGTCTGGAGATCTCCTACGGGGACAATTTCCCCACTGGAATGATCCATTCCTCAATCGGGAGATACCCCTTGCATGAATGTGTTCAGGATTCGGGGTACAAATGCTGTCAAGCTCAGCTTTTTATGGAATTCCTCCTTGGCGTCTGTGTCCCGATCGCCGGCTAGCTGACGGGGTGTGGATCATGAGACTGGAGAGGGAACTGTTGGAGCCTTCTAATCTGGAGCTTGACTTGTTTGCTCGATGACCTTTGATCACTTTTTTCTGTGTGTTCCCACGGGCTTCGATGTGCTCCCCTCACTGCAGGAATCATTCGGGAGTTTCGCGGTGGCTTCCCTGTTGCAAGCGGAAAAACTATGTAAATGAATCTTGCCCAGCTGCAAGCTTCCTTCGAAGGACATGAGAAATCTCATTTCCAAGAGACCTCGAGAAAGTTTATCGATGACTCCATGACAACCACAAACATGGTCGAAAGGTGGCAAACACTTGTTTTTTCCGACCTCTATGAATCTTAGGAGCCCTTTCTCTCACAATACTTGAAATATGAGATCTCTCCCTCGCTCCCAGACGTACAAAAGTATGCTCATGACCTTGCTTGGTTGACTCAACAGCATAGGAGCATGGCCAACATGGAAACCGGTGTCAGGCTTTTATTGCTAGGTATAGTTTTTTCCACATCGTGTGCTATAGATGTCCTACCCATCAAGAATCCCTTGCCGAAAGTCGACAAAAGTCTTCAGAAAATCACGAAGCCGCTCGCGAACGTTGGAGAGCAAGCAAGGTGAGTGCATCGGCCGTTCCTCTTATTTCAAGAAAATACTTGCGCTCGGGAATCTGACTTACGAAGCATTTTGCTGCGGAACTCAGATGATTCCCCCGACAGAGTCTGTGAAAATCTTTCTTCCGTATTCTTCTGTGGATGCTTTCTCTGGTCTGTGAAGCCTGCTTCCAGAGGATCCCTGTCACGGTCCGCGGTGGCGGCAGGCTTTGTTTCGGCCGCTGGAAGAGAATGTACATCGGTGGACACACGGGAATGCAGCGCATAGGAGTGGATTCTGAAGGCTCAGTCCCAGGAGGAGGAATCGGTATACGATCGGCGCGTGTTGGTTACCCCTCTCCATCTTGTCTGGGCAGTGATATTGATCACCGTTTTAGCGTGATATGAGCTCTGGTGCGGAAAAAAATAAGTCATGCGCAAAGACGGGCTCAGATCTCTCGTTTTTCGCCGACGATGACTTTCTATCGGTGACCTTAGTGAGCCCAAAGCGATTTCCGATGATCCTCCCATGGAATGAGGCAGATCAGAGGCATATGTTCTCCGAACTTGCAGAAAACCGGGGATTTCAAAGGTGGATCGTCGTCTGGTTCGAGGTCAGAGGGACTTGTTCCACGACAGTCTCCTCTTATCCTTAGCCTGTCATCCCTTACAGGCAGAGAGTTTTCGGAGACATGGTTGAACGGACCTTCACCGATTACTATTTCGGTGGACACAAGTATGCTTCTGTAGTCACCGATAACACAACAGGCGAAGTTCTTGACTGCATGGTCATAGGGGACAGAGAATTCATCGCCTACATGGTGGGAGACCAGTGCTCGAAGTGGTCAGGTTCGTGGTATAAATCGAACAAATGGATTCGGATGTAGTTGAAGCGACGGGTGTCTTGCGATCTTCCATAAGGATACGCTTCCCTCCAGGTCCCGTACTCGAGCTCGTCAGTGATCAGCCGAGCATACAATTCATAAATGTGACCACCGATCTCATGGACGATTACATCGCTCAATGTGACGGCCGGAAAGAGAGGAACGACACAAGGCCGCTGTTCCAGAAATTCATGTCGGGTCTGAAGAAAGGCCCAAAAACCATACTAAAGCACGCCGTGATTTTCCCCGGTAGGTCTGCCTCGGGGATTTCGACCTATTTTTTCGGGAGCTTGCGATCGATAGGCAAGTTCTGTATTCCGGAACGAAAGATATCGGCAATCTAGAACAGTAAAAGCTCGATAATGTCAGCGGTTCCGTGTCGGCGGGTGGTCATCATATGGTCGCGTCCCATAAACTCTAATCGCGAATTCGATTAGGTTATATGCTGGCGACTCGATTATATCACATTGGCGACTCGAATTTATCACCACACAACCAGAATGCGAAAGAATCGAGCTCCTGAAAGTCCAGGGTGACAGGATCGAGCGAGGAATAATCGAGCTCATGCTGTGTATACGAAGCGAGAAATCAAATCAAGTACCTCGCATAAATCTCTCAGGCACGAAGTGGTGCGGAGCTGGAAACGTGGCTCGGAATTACGATGATTTGGGACAAATGTCGGGCACGGACAAGTGTTGTAGGGATCACGATCATGCGGTAGAGAGTCTCGACCGCGGAGAGGAGAAACATGGACTCAAGAACGACCTCTTATATACGATGTGAGTGGCCTCGGCGATCCTCAGCGGATCGAGATTTAATATTCCCGTCCCTTGAGGGCTTCCAATGTCCCTGTTTTGTGTGTTATGGCTCATTGACGGGGTTTCTGGTCACCGATGATGATGATACGATAATCTCTCAGGACCAAATGCACGGATGACGAGACTTTCAATAAGTGCCTGTTCAACGATGGATCAGCGCATGCTGGTGCAGTTGGAACGACCTATTTCAACGTTCTGAAAACGAAGTGCTTCGACAAGAGGAAGAAAGCGAAGTGCACTTCCAAGCTTGTGTGAGTATTCAGCACTGCCCGCCGGGTTCTTTGTTTCATCTTCGACGCTCTCGAGCCGAGGCGGACCGAGCGGCACCAACCCGCCATTGCCGGATAATGATCCCTTCTTTCTCGTCTTCCAGATCGGGTATAACTCCATGCACCGAATACAAATACGACGAAAACTCCCCTGAAACATGGCAAGTTTTCGACGCCTCCGCCTTCGTCCCGAACAGTTCGCTACCGGTTCAGAAACTCAATGAGTACCTGCACTCTGCCCCGGGTCTTGGCGATCTACTCTCTGTTGTCGCTTGAGGACGGGTGGCTCAGGATAGATCGCCGTCATCCCCTTCCGTGTAGCACCCCTGACGGATGCGCGATCCGGGAATGAGCCAATAAATCAGGCTTTATTCAGTCCTGCAGAGATTCCTTATTTTCTCGAGCACCCAGCTTCTAGCACGTCGAATCTCCGTCATCGATCCGATGGAAAACCGGGTATTAGTGCCCAGGTTGCCGGACCGGGTGAGCTGATTACTTGAAATAAATCAGTGCAGGTGGACACCGCTTCATCATCTCCATCGTCGAGCGCAGCTGCATCTTTTAGGTAGAAATATATTGGCGTCGAGAAATCGACCTCGAGTGGAGGTGGAGGCACGCTCGCGCTCGAGATGATCAGGGTCAACTTTGCGATAGAGCTGTTCAACTCGAGGGTCTCGAGTTGGGGGGGGAGCCCTCAAAGCGGACTGCAGTATCCGCGGCAATTCTCCCGGGCCTCGGCTAGGCGTCTGGTAAGAAATCCTCCGGGAAGAGCCCGCGCATCGTTTCGCTTAGATCGCCCGAATCTTCCGACTCCGGGGAAGATGGCAGACAATCAAAGTAGTGAGCGGAATTCGTAGACAGGCTGAGAAGAAGGAGCGAAAGAGCTTGAACCCTCTTTCTCTCGTGAGCGGGTCTTTACTGACTTCCACTAGAGTTCTGAAACCTAAAGATAGTGTTCGTTGAACTGCTCTAAGAGAAGATCATCGAGCGATGCCGGCTTCAACACTGGCTTGCCTTGTGAGTGTCAATCAACTCTTTACAAGCCATACTTGCCGACCCTTCGCATACGTCTTTGCTCCCAGGATCCAGAGTTACACCCTCGAGTGTCGGAAGGGGTCCGAGTCGAATTACTCATATCTAAGACCATAACCTATCTTTAGGTGTCATTCAGTGTCGGTTTCGCAGCCGGAATCTACTTCGAGCGGAACATTAAGGTACGAGTTCGCAAAGAATTCCCAGAGTAGAAGTCGGTGATATTCATTCTGGTAACGATTGGCGCCCCGGAAGGAGCTTTGTCCAGCAATACAGCAAAATCTCTCCACAAGAAACCTCGCCCGACCGGGAAATCGCTCCGTTGTAATGAATGTTCGCTCCCACGGAAGTTTCCGATTATTATCTCCATTGTGACCCAGCCAGGGAAAGAAGATTGAAATGCTCGTTATACTGAATATTATTTGTAATGGTGTTTTTTGACGAGACTTTGCTGTATGTATAGGTGTATGCATGTGGAACCGAGAGAATTGGAAGGTCATCCGCCTGAAAATTTCTCGGTCTTATGTGCGTGGCAGGTCTAGCCCGAGTCATTGGAGGGTTTCAGGAGTTGAAGGTTCTGCGACATCCAGTACCCAAATTAGACTCGTCGGCGTTCTCGTCCGCGCTCCCTTCGAGCCGAAACTCGCTCCTCTCGTGCATACTATCGGATTTCCTTGTTTTCCTTGCAGGTTGAGAGGAAGAACTCGATTCAAGAAAAGTTTTCTAACATGATACGTTGAAGACACGGAGTGTCAGAGTCGAAGAATTGCTCACCGCCACGGATCCGGGAAACCACGGGGATTTGATGGCTGGAAGAGTTGTCACAATAAAAGTTGTAGGCAGCTTGACTCGTCCAGCTTATTTTGCAGGGAGCTCCGATACATGTGATACCCTAGAAGGGGGGCGCACAGCTTCATGAGCTCGGCGGGTTAGTTTGGGGGACTCTTGACCCCTGGCGGGCCGCACAATTCTGTGGTGAGCCCCCGCCCTGCTAGAGAATGCTTTTTCTGAGAACGAATTATTGATCGGGGGGTCCTCGTTCCCGGAAATGTGTCGTGTCAATGCCGAGTCGGAGGAGTCCCGGGATCGACAAACAAGCATGGAAATATGGCGGCAAGCCGCACAAAAATATCCCGAGGGCCGCGTGTTGTACACCCCTGCCTTAGAAGCTCCTGCTTGAATGCTCGCGTCTGATGACGCGTTGGGAGTGACCTCAGTCCCGATCATGAGAAGTGAGAAAGCAGTATGGTGCAATCAGAAAATCCATATTATTTGTATGTGTACAAAGATTCTCGATATTTCGTTGCTTCATTCCGCTATATGTATCATCGTAAGCTCATGATGATTGAAATCGTTCTCCGGGCTAAATCCCTCGGGATAACGGTTTTCAGGAGACCTTTGGGAAAGTGTATAAACGAACAAATGGGTAAATAACAACATCTCCGATAGAAATCACAATCGCAGGTCTCACTTGCACGGGGTAGCTCTGGGCAAAACTTGCAGCGGGACGGCGCATCCCACTTTCGGTCGGGGCATTCAGAAGTTCGAACCCTTCCATACTGATAGCTCCTCTGAGTTCTCCTAGCAATAATTACGATGAGCTAGATCACCAATCAGAAGGGGAATTCTAGATCCTCGCTGACCCGGAGATATGGCCGCTACTGCTGACGGCAACGACTTATTCTTTGCCCGAAATATATTGGGGTGCGTCAACTATGATGAACAATCGATTAACTTCGATGGCCTATGACATTGGCTCGGGTATGCGTTCGGTTCGCAGCTATCCACGCTCATCATCCTCAGCTCTCTGTGGTCTTGTTCCCGAGGAGGACCTGTCCATAAATAATCTTTCATGCACCGAACCTCGAGTTTCTGTTGTCTCAGAAGTGTGGACTTTCATAGAGATGCCAACCCTCCGGGAAGTTCTGTAGCGTGTAATAGCGCTCACAACCGCTCCACCTGTGTCAGATGAGAGCAAAAGCTGAATATCCGATCCATAATAATTAAGTGTTCAGCGTGAATAGATGGATTCGCCTAGCGATCCATAAGCTTGATATCGGTACTTCAAATGTCGATAAAAGGTGGAGGAAAATCCCTCGACGCTGTGCTTACGATTTCTTTTCACAGGCCTGAGGCTGTCCGTGAGCATAGCATTTCGCTTTCAATACGTTGAAGAAAACGGTCCCCACCATGCGGCTGATCCTTGAGTCGACATTTTTCAGACACTGGCGGAATTCCTCATCGGCTGCGCATGTTTTTCTGGAATATTTCGGAACCACACGTCATGAATTCGTTCCTGAAACCGGCACGTCTCCTCCATCCCACCAGCAGGGATTTTATCAGAGAAAGAACATTTGTATCAAATGATCCGGCGAGCCCGAGTGGAGCCCTCTGATACTCTGATTCTTGATCAATATGACTCATTATAGCTAGTTTCTCCATGAGCACAGCGGAGTGCTCCGTAACTTGCTTACATTGTGTATTTGAATTTATTCGTTATGTTGTGGACGGTTTGGCCGCTCTTGATTCCGCCGGGAGCTTTGTCATGCGCGCGGCAACAGCGGTCCGTGTCATCCGCCTCACCGAGATCGTCGTAATTCTTCGCTCGGTTGCCTTTGCCGCACCATTTTGTGCCTGAAAATAAAAACCTACGCATGAAATACGATTTGTCGAAGGTGACACTTGACGGTATGGCGACTCATCGCCGACGGGCATGAGTAGAAGAACAGGATGGGGAATTGTCCCAGCAACATTTTCAACACTGCGAAGCTCCGGTAAGCATCGGAAGGGAAAATTGCAGTGATCAAGACATGACAAAACAGTTCGACGATAGACCGCGGACGAAAATTCCAACGTCACAATCCGGGCAATCCAAGGGCGATCGTGTCAGCATTCCCAACAAAAATTCTATTTTTGGTGGTAATGTAAGTCATTCAAGTCATCGAGCGATCCCCAGCCGCAGCCTCGCCACCGGTGAAGAAAAACCACCGAAAAAAAAGCGGTTTCTTGTTGTAGCTTCGAAAGCCGTCAAAACGGGACTGCGCGTCGCGGACAAGTGGTCTAAAGCTCGCGCAGACGGTGGAAACGATCGCGGATCGGTCGGTCGGGACACGAATCGGAATGGAGAAGATCTATCGTATACGACTCCGCTCCTAGCGGCACGTGAGACAGAAGAAAAATATGGTATTCGTTCAAATCAATATGCGTCTGCGAAATTATTTACAGGTCGTCCTTGGATTCATTAGCGTCTCGCCGGAATCCCTGATAATGCCAATCCGAGAACCGTTCAGACATTCGCATTCGAAGACGTCAAGCGAGCTTGTGATGTAATGACGATTTCTTGCGAATATTTCCGATGCCTTGCCTGGTATGGCGCATGGCCAGTCACGCCGAAACAACATCAGCAACCGCAGCACCGTCTGCTGGGGATCACGCGAACTCCGATTCTGAATTAAGAATAAGAAAACACACCGCGAACGGGCGCTTTCTCTTAGAATGTGATGTTTTTCTGCAGATAGCGGATAGATTTTTTTTTCCAGGACGGCAGGTCTGATGGTCCGGGCCGACATGAATGACTGAAGTGTGACCAGGTCTCCGAGGAGATCGCCTCCCGAACTATTTCGCGAGAGTGCCCGAATCTAGGGCTATTTCTACGCGATCAATTCTTATGTCCGCGAATTGTTTACGGGAAACGTCGTCGAGAGGACTCGAGAGAAGCCCTCATGAGTGGATCAGCGCCCTTGATGGGGGTCCTAAAGCGAAAACTGAGCTTTCCCAGAGCACTTACCTCTGGAGGGTGTCTAGGTAACCTAGGATCAGACGTGAATCTCCGAGCGATTTCACAGACTCACCTGGGAAGATGTACCAGCTCCCTTGGCGGCCTTCTGACTGCGCCGCTACCACGGCCAGAAATACGAGGAGCGACAGCAGATAGACTTGTCTCATTGTGGCTGGCAAGTGAGAAAATGCACGAAAACGTCGAAGATACTCTTGAGTGACTCTGGAGGCGAAACGCACTTCTCACAGAAGGAGGGAACGACGCAGCTAGCAACCGAACGAAGGAACGAACAATCAATCAATCACGAAAAACGGCAAGGGTAATAGATTAGTCTTTCAGAAGGTTCTCCAATCCGATATTCTCCTTCTAGCCGACATCCAGTACACCGCTGCGTTTGAAAGATCGAGCAACACTCATGTCAAAGCACCCCCGCCTCCTTCCGATCTGCTGGGTGGCGGTTGCTCAGTGGTGAGGGACCGTTTCGCCTGCCACGGAAAGGGTTTTTCTTTTCACCAGGATTGCAATTTTGATGCATGCCGTCGGGAACCACTACATCCAGCACGGCGTCACTGCCCATTGCACCCATTCACAGGTTTTCCCCTTGCCGATCCTTCCGATAGACTCGAGTAGACAAGAGTCGCGTCTCGAGTGTCTCTAGCGGTCCGCTTCCAGGTCCGAATGACATCATGGTGCGCGAGATTCTAGAGCAGCCTCTAAGTGGAAGCATCCCGGGCTATGCGCGAAACTCGAATCCGGTAGTTTTCCTCCCATGCCTCACAGCAATTATTGCGGAGCGATTCCGTTGTTCTTTTGGCGAAAATGTCCGAATCGATCATTCCGGTCGCCGCGCCGCCCCGAATTTATCGGGAACGATCAGGATGACGGCATCTTAGACTTGTTCTTGGTTGTAATCCACCCGGTACCTTTTACCATCTTCCAAGCCTTGTGCTCTCCTCTCAGAAATCCCCTGACCGGAGAAGGAAACAAGGCTCATGCTGAGTTCAGTTTGCGAATCGACGGAAGCGTCCAACCTCTGAGCCTAACAGCTGACGCTTCGTCATTTTTCTGAAGCCGGAGAGCTCCCTAGCAACGTGCATATACTCCCATGCCAGACACGCGCTTTCGAGAGCCCCCCGAGCCCCCGAATGTCTCGTATGTGGATACACCGACATTCCGCACCCGTGGTATGATCGATCGCGGAATCGCCATCGGTCTCTCCGTGATCGATGCTCCCCTGTTCTGGAACAGTGTATCGAACGGGTAGGAACTCTCAGATGGCATTAACTCGCGTCGGTACTTGTCTGCAGGATCACGCAGCCCTGCGCTTGTGGCGCTCTCCGGGATCCCACCCGCACCGCAACCATTCATCTTGAGAGAGCGTTCTCGGATGTTTTCGTCTTTCGAATGCGTCTCGCCCGGAAGCCCTAAATACGTAGCAAATAGCAAGGTTCCAGACGCGAATAATCTCTCTCTCTTTCTGGAGAATCGCTGAAACGTGCCGCAATGCTGACGTCCGAGGAATCCTCAACTACCACGAATGCATCAAAGTGCTCGACTCAGTGGATGGCAGCACCCATCCAACTCTATCATGTTGTCAGATGCAGATTCCTAGGGAATGCACTTCCTGGAACGAGATTCGGGAGAGTGACGTCCCGAAAGCTCCGTCGATTTCATTTTTGAAACTGCCGCCTCCTGCCCTCTGGCGCCGTCGGATCGCGACATTCATAGTTCCATCGCGAAGCCAATCAAATAGTCATTAGAGTAGAAACCGGACAGACTTACAACGCGGAGTGGCTGAAGATATCGTTTTTCGACAATGAGAATGACAGAACTTTCGGAACGAGCGTCCCTCATATATGGCCTCACATCCATTTCGATTCATTGCGGAAATCTGCGGAGGGAAAACCGACGACATCATTGCATTTTCGAGATACGATGGCCGCAAAATATATTTCTGACGGTCGATGCATACATTTTGAAGAAAAGAATGTTCGAACTCATGCCTGTCATTTTTATTTCTCTGAGAGCATTCCGTTTGAAGCCACAAGCTCCCACCAACGAGATCCGGTCCCGGAGCCGGCCGCTAAGCGAAAAGTTCTTCATGCCGAAGCGGTTTTCCACCCGATGGTTCGCACCTGCTGCTGCCTATCGAGTGAAAATCCTTCCAGTCTGATTACGGCACTATAGTGTGGTGTCGAAGGCTCGGACCAGAAGTATTCCAGGGGAGGAGACTAGATTTCTCCGTATACCGAGATGTGGTCCGTTCTGCGGGAAGCGTCATTCGACGGGAAGTCCATGACACCACGGTGAACGAACGGCGGGCGCGGATTTACGAATTCTTCGACGGCGAGGGCGGCAGTTGCATAGAGGGAGGGGCGAAACGACGCCTAGGGTATGTGGTAGGGTCTGTGGTAACATGGAAAATAAAGGAAATCGGAACCCTCGAAGGGGAAGATCGCCTGAACGCCCCTAACCCCCCCCTCCGATGCGAAGCGCACAATCATGCGATCAATCCTTCGAAAGGATATCCAAGAGAGCGGTTCAGAAACTCTCGTACGACCTGAATCGGGAGCGTAAACCGAGTATTTTTCGATCAATAACCTTGAATTCACTACATGTCCCTATGAACATTCTGAGCGCAACAATGGGTGCTGGGGAGTGCTCCCTAGTCAGAACATTTGATAGAGTGCTGTGCTTCCAAAAGGGGAACAACGTGATCGATCGTCCCTTATGCGCGATTCCTTAAAAACGGAGCTCTCGAATCAGCTCAACATCTTTGACCCAAGTCGAAGTCACCTGAAAATGAAGCCTTTCACGAGCTGTGTTTTCGTCGCTCTCCTCTCCGGAGTCCTCGCGACTCCCGCTGGTCCCGCTGCCGTTGCCAAGTGGGAGAGCTTCAAGGCTAAACATGGTGAGGGAAATTGCTGCTTATGTAAAGTCATTTATCGCACTGCGCTCGAGGCTAGAATGCTCACGTAGGAGGCTAATGCAGGAAAGCAACACTCCGTCCATGAGGAGCCCGCTCGCATGCAGCGTTTCCTCGAGAGGAGCGCTGAGATCGATGCCCACAACGCTCGTTACGAGGCCGGCCTCGAGAGCTTCTCCATGAAGCCCTCTCAGTACGCCGACCTCACCCCCGAGGAGTTCGCTCGTTCCGCTCTCGGTTTCGTCGCCGCTGTCAACGCCTCCGACATTCCCTTATCCGAGGAGCCCATGATGCCCAGCATCCCGTCTAAGTTCGACTGGAGGGACCAGGGCATCATGACGCCTGTTGTCAGCCAGGGTTACTGTGGTTCTTGCTACGCTTTCGCCGGAGCTGCTGCCCTCGAGGCCTATCTCAAGTGGAAGACCGGACAGACCCACGACCTCTCCGAGCAGGATGTTGTCGACTGCTCCTACAAGAAGTTCTTGGGAAACAACCACAACGGAGGATGCCAGGGAGGATGGCCCACCGCTGTCTACGAGTACTACAACCAGAAGGGTCTCGTCTCCGAGAGAGAGTACCCCTACACTTCTGGAAGTACCAAGACACACGGACCCTGCAGGATTCCCAACGCCAAGAACGACCGAGTCAGGGGATCTCTCAAGATTAAGAACGTCAAGCCCAAGAATGAGAATGAGATGGCCGCTCTCCTTGTTTCCAAAGGTCCTCTCGTCATTGCCATGGCTGCTGATAACGAGTACAAACGCTACTTCAATGATCTCGGCGATGGTGTCTTCGATATGGATCACGCTATCAATCTCGGTCCGAACCACGCTGTCGTTCTCGTCGGTTACGGAAACCAGAAGGGCAAGGACTACTGGGTCATCAAGAACTCTTGGGGAAAGGAATGGGCCGTCGGCGGTTACGGAAAGATCGCCAGAGGAAAGAACATGTGCAACCTCACCAAATTCGGAGTTTGGTACGTTGAGCAATAAGATGTCACAGTTCTGAATAAATTTCTCACATGCCAAAAGCCTTGGCTTCATCGATACCGAGACATTATATGAGCCTCCGGATAGTCACTATCAAAACTTCACGCAATATCCGTCTGAAGACTCCATCCGGTCGGTAATTTCTCAACAGTCCTTATGGACCCCGATGCGCCGATCCCGACGAAATTCGGGCACGAGCATGAGCCGTGGATGTTCTCTCTTCCAATTCCTTCTTGAGAGGCTGAGGATGTCTCAATGTATTACGGACATCACGGAGTTTGCAATTATTTTTGAGAGTTCTACTCTTGAGACTCCTTGTACCCCCGGTCCGCAGAGTGAGGGTCCGCAGAAGAAAAGCATTGGACAGGAAAAATTGACCCAGAAAAGATTTGAAAATTTTATTGAGAGGCAGACAGAGGGGCTGAGGGAATGATTCCGGTCCAGAGCAGAGCGGTATCTCTCTCGATGAAATATGCAATTCTCTTAGAATCGAGTGATTCATGATACAGTGAAACCTGTCTGATGAGACCACCTGTGGGGAATCCGGGAAGCAGTCTGATGACTCGAAAACGAGTGATGAAGGTCTCGTTGGGTTGGTCCTTTCTAGCATGGGAGCCCACTCATTCGAAATCCGGAAAGAGCGGTCTGATACCTCAGGATGTCTGACTATAGGAGTGGTCTCCACCTTACATTTCACCACATCGCAACTCGCCACCGAGACGCCGCCGACCATTCCCTGCGTTAGAGGGTGACGTTGGGGCGGTGGAAATCGTCTGGCTCGCCATACTAGAACGGCAGCTGTATCCGAGCCAATATCTTCGGCGCTTCGATTTTCAAGAATTCTGAGAAGAATGCACGCGCAATTGATGGATTCATCCGTAAGCCCAGGGTCACCGCCTGTAATTCGTGGGGAAGATCGTAGATGAGCCCTCGCATCGAAAGTTCCACTCAGGACGGCAAACTTGTCGCTGTGCGTACATGTGTGTGAAGAGACCGCTCCCACCGTCAGGGACTTATTCAGAGGGGCGCTCAGCTGTGATTAGATCAGGTGGGTATATGAAAATAATGGTTCGTGGAGGCATTCCCAGCAACCAAGCCGCCCGCACAGCTCAGAAAATCCACGAGATAACTGGCTGCTCGGAGAGACAAGGGAAGAAACGGGCCGACGACAATTTCTGGCTGAATCGACTTCTCTTTACAGAGACTCCCTGTTCCTCCCTCCTCTGCCTTGCTCGAGCCGGAGTCTGCAGGATTCGCGCTCTGCTCCTACTTTTTCACCCTGGGATGATAGGAGAGTGGAGAGTGATCCTAGTCACGAAACCGGAGGGCTATCGTCACTATCGCCGTACTCGTGAGCAAGCGTCCTTTACCTGGCTTAAGAGCGACGTTATAGGCTCCAAGCCGGAGATCGTGAGTTTCTGTCCGCGTATCGACGTCACCTTGAGCTGACGAGCTCGAACTTTGATTTTCGACTGTGGAGCGGGAAACAGATTGTGAGACTCGGACTAAATTAGGGTTCCGGGAACACCGAGGGGATATTAGCTCATATCGAGTTCGTCAGATAAAATGCCCTTCGATTGCGCGGAACTTCGAGCGCGAGGTAGATGTCCATGGCGTCGAATTTGATGAACACCATCATATGCGCAGCCAATGTCGTCGTCGGTCCGAGAGCTAAATCACAAATTATTTGCGCATTCCGCAATCCCACGTACAATCCAAGCAAGACCCGTTTCGTCTGATCTTCGCCGTCGCAAGTCACTTCTACTGGCGAGGTGAAATTCGTATTTTCGAGTCCTGCAAGCTTTTCTCGACAATTTACTAGTCCGATGAAGGAGCGAGAACGGGCTCAACCCGACGTCCTGATTTGTTCATGCGTTCCAAACTCACACAGCAATTGTATAATCGCGCCAGACCGAAGTTCTCCTCCAAGCCCGGAACTTTGAGAGGTGAGAAGGTCCGGAAGAAGTCGCGATTACCGTCCACCACGTTCAACAGAAACTTGGTAGTGAATTCGCTGCCCTTCGTACAGACGAGACCGAGTTGAGCTCGACCGTATGGAGCTACTAGAATCCGAAAGAGAGTCGATATCAACGGAACGATATCGTGCTGGGATCTGAATTTGAAACGCCTTTGCAGTTCCACATCTGTAAACCCCGGGATTCCGACCCGAGAGAACTCACGTATCAGAAGGAGGACGGAAAGCATCATCGTCTCTACGAAAGTTCCGAAGAACTTTCTGTGGTAGGGCATCGGAGGCCTCTGGCTCCAATTTCAATCGTTCACGAGTCGGTGGAGGGCAGCTCATAGCTCCTCAATGAGGAGCACGTGCACCTTGTGATTCAGGTCAGTGAGTAAACAGGATCCCCTGCTTTGGATCACGTAGATCTCTCAGTGCAAGTCGAGTAATAACGTGATGGCTGATCGAAGCCGCGGACTTCGGAAGAGGAGCAGATTTTCGTAAAAACTCTCGAGAGAACCATTTATGTATTTTACAGGCGCACTCGATGCTGCATAAGTTTTGAATCGTGCAGTCTCGATGGTATCGTGCTTTACAAGTATTCACAGAATGTACAGCGTGCCCACGAGGGATGCTATCGATGAGAATGACTCAATCCACTTCGACGGCCCATTCGTGCTTCTTCCGTCCCAGTTGAACATCGACGAAGAAGTCGAAGATTCTCTTATAAAGAGAATTTGATTGCTGTGTAGTGGGCAGTCTGAGATCGATGAGTCTCCCGTCTTTCTTGTAGACTATGCGCTCGATTGGTGATATCGCCGAAGCCGTTCCGCATCCGAACATCTCGAGCAATTGACCTTTTGCGAGACGTTCTTGAAGTTCCTGCATGGTCACTTCGCGCTCCGAGACCTTGAATTCGTTCTGCGGACGACAGAATACGGTTTATGAGGAGAATTATACAAATTGAAAACATCCGAAGTTTTTCGGCTGCATCCATCATTCGTGATCTAATTCATTCGATGGTGCGGATGTCCACTCACCCAATCTCTTGTTAGATCCAAAATAGATTGTCTGTTTATTCCCGGTAGAATGATGCCGTTCAAGGGTGGTGTGATCAACTCGACGTTACCGACGTCATCCTTCATGAGCATGAAAATATTGGAAGCCCCCGCTTCCGTTATCCTGTGATCAGGGCCGAAGAGCCACAGAACCTGATGGAGACCCAAGCGTTCCGCTTCCCTCTGAACCATGAGGGTGGAGGTGTAGTTACTGAAATAGTGAAGATAAAATTGTATCACCTGAGCTGAGCCGATCCACCGGTGTTCGACGATGTATCGCCGTTCCGCGACGCTACCGCCGTCGAGCTGAATTATAGTCGAAAACAGACTCACCATCCAAGCTTTTTGTCGCCAGTGCCCCCGGGCCACGCTCTGACGAATTTGGGGTCCGCGAAGAGATGCACTGGTTTCGCGGTGGTCGAGAACGATCCTTCAGCAGGACTGCAGATTATGTACAGGACGGCATCCATCGAGCGCCCGATCCCGAGACGGGGCTCGATGCCGAGGAATGTCGGGCGGATATAGAGTGAGCCTTTAGCGAAGTTCGGTACCCACTCAGAATCGACTTTCAGCAGCTGTACGAGGCACTTAAGGAATTCTCCACCATTGAAGACCTGAAGAAGACGTTGATGAAGTTCAGGGAAAACCCTTGTGCGGTTCAGGGAACACCCTCAAGACTTCTGGGTCCTCTCATCATTGATTCCATTTTTCGAGATACTCACCGGAAGGCCGACTCTGTCCGCGGAACTCAAGAGACGATTGATATTCAATTGAGGCCTGAACAATCGAATTCTGCCGTCGACGCCTCGGTATGCTTTGAGTCCCTCGAATAACTGCAAGGGTACTTGGATTCGGATTCGCTCGAATCGGTCGATTCATCGATCGAAAAAATAATAATAATTTGAAAATGCGAGTTCATCAAGACTGAGCACGCACCTCTTGACCATAGTGGAACACTTTGGCTGCCGGGTGGAGATTGAGATTGTGGAGGGGGGAAATCCTTGGCTTCATCCAGCCGTGTTCGTCGTTCCAATAACATTCGAACATATGATCGGCGAACTGTTGGCCACACTTCAATTTTCCCAGATCCATTTTTTTCCGTCGCATATCCTTGGGCTGCTGATACATTTCCAAATCACTGAACTTCAACTGCGAAGACACGCTGATCGGAGCCACCTTAGCAGCTAGACTAGCTAAGGTCCTACTAGTTAAAGTGGATGCTGCCATGATGAGCGCACTCTCTTCGAGAACAGGATCCAACTCTCTTGGAGTGTTGATGGATATCTTCTTCTTTTATGAAGCGCGGCTTTCGCCGTTTTGCGGAGCCCTCTCCGCAGCACTGCTTCCATGCACTTTGGAGTTCGGTGGGGCAACCAGGACGATTTACCCATTGGTCCGATTGTGATTCCTCGAAAAGCGCCGTTTCTCGTCGCGGACTTGTGGTTCTGTTTACTTTTATGTAACTTTCTCCGAGATCCACAATACGAATCTGGCTGCAGACTTCAGACCGCATCCGTGAGATCCCAGTACGGAGATCTCCGGACCGGTCGATGCCGTTCTACAATATTCCGATCTAGCGCAACAATGTAGGGGACCGGTCGAAATCACCTGGTCTCGGTCTACGTTTTCTAGCTCAGATCTCTCGCTCCATTTCCGTCAGGAGAAAATGAATGATTCCTCTCTCCAACCACAGGGTGCACGTATTCGCACGGCGTCCATACATTCGACCTCATCGTCCCCTGCTTTCTGTATATGCGTCGTTCCTCGAGCGGACGCTCTGTCCTCACGTCGAGAGACGCAAGGTTCGAGCGTACGCGCTGCTACAAATCAAAGCACTCCGTCACCGAAAGAGACTCCAAATTCCATCTGAACCGGTTAGATGCGGTTCACCGAGAATTTTCCACTGGCCTGTGTCCGACAGGCAATGGAGAGGCCGAAATAGGTTGATACAGAAAGAGCTCTTGTCAGATGCGGATCTCAAAGAAGAAAGTCCTCCAGTAGTTCACTTGCGAGCGAGCCAGTGGGAACCGGATTGCCCAAACGATAAGAAAAGATCCCCGCATTGCTGCGCTCGACTTCATCCTGCGAATCGCTCGATACGGCAGCGCGATTTTTACAATCTCTCTCGACAAGTTTGTATCGCTGGCATCCTCCGGAAAAAAAATTGGGTTCGAAGCCTCCGGTTTTTCGCTTTGGCCCCAGCTAGACCTAATAATTAGCAAATATGTCATTACGACGAGTCGCTTCGATGCTCGCAAGCTTGACTTGAGCACTGATGAAGCGACGATTGGATGACCCGGTCGTCCAATCACACGGATCCATACAACTACATATCTCAATGCCATCTCTTCACTAATCTCTTTTCGATGCGTCAGGAACCGGTTCGAACCGTGAAGCGGCGTAGATATCCGATGCGGCTTCCGGAAGCTCCTCTTCGATCTCAGTATCTCAGCGCAGTCTCTTATGGAAGCCTGAAAAATCTGATACGTGGCGAGTGAAGTCCCAGTCACCGCCGACATCACCTCGCATCTGTGCCTTTGCCGTATAGAAGTCGGAACGCGTTTCGAGATACAAAATTTCAGTTTTTCCACGACCGCCTAATCAACCTTTTTCGAGATGTCCAGCTTTTCCAGAGCGATCGTATGACTGATAAGCTACGGGAACTTTTGGCATCCGATCTTGCCTCTCATCAACCTCCTGCTTCTCTCTCGTGAACCGCCACGGAATAATCCATCGAATGATTCTTTTCATAGCGGTCTATTCTGGTCTTGATTGTCATCGAGATGGAAGCCGATTTCAGCTCACTCGGATCGCAAATAGACTCGCAAAACCGTCGGGAACTTCTTTTCCCCCATGAGAGCTCCGGCTCGCAGCTCTCTCCGAGAATAGATGTATGACGACAATCACCATCGTACACCGAACACAAGCAACGTCAGCATGGGGGTCCTCGAGCAGGAATCTCGAAATTTTTCTTGAGCGAAAATGAACTTCCCCGTTGAGAGCTCGTCATCGCCAGGACTCACAAGCGTCTAGGGTTGACGATGCATCGACTCTTGAGGCCCCGCTGGGTCGGGGTTAGAACTCCGGTTTTATGCGGCTCCGCTGTGAGGACTCAAGGGCGTTGATTGCGGCCAGCAAAGTTAGAGGAAGGTAATGACCCCACGTCCTCTGAAAGAATTCGGTATTCTCATGAGCTGCGAGCCGTATCGATGCTCGAACGATTACCCTGGCTCGGATTTCGACTCGGGAACTTCAAGTCTACTGGTATATACCCGTAGGGGAGTTACGCCGCGCCAGCGCGGCGCCGTTGCGATCCTTGGTCTGCTTTCCCCAGCGATGGTTCTAAGATTCCATCACTCGCTCAGAATGCCAGGTTGAGTCGGTGTGCTCAAAAAGATCAACCCCGGGACCTTCGACGAGTTTCACCATCGGAGGTTTTCAAGGGGGTGGGGGGATCACAGACCACCGCCAAACGAGCTCAACGGGAAGCACTCATCTACCGAACTCGAGCTCATCGCTAGGTAGAAAAGAGCAAACCTGCCTATGCTGCGAAGGAGATTTCGGAATCTCCGGGAGCGAAAGTCAACAACCCCTGCTCGAGTTGAGGGGAAGTATGCGAGACTCCGTCAATGGGAGCAACACCGATGCCGCCATTCCTTCTAAATTATTCTTCGTTCCGGAGTTAGGCTGTAAATTGTGGGTTTCCCCCGGGTCTGTAACTGACTGTCTGGCCTGACAGTCGGTCCCGGGCTTGAGTGCCGCAAATCAGATGCAGCCCCGGTTGTGGCTGATATTCGTGTGGATATGAGAAGATCCCGGCGATGACCGCTGTTTTCAGAATCAGTATTTGCGATGTTGTTCAATCCTTCTCGAGACCTACGTCCAGTATTCTCAGAAAGTGTCATGCGCCGTATTTCGGATACGCGACATGCGATCCTATTGTTTCACCCAGTATTATCATCCTCGTTCCCCGCGACTCATATCGAGAGCCGCGAGAATTCTCCCGTAACAGTTTCTCCGATGTTTAGAACTATCTCTCGCGTGCGACGAGGCGAGCGATTCACGTTCCTGGAACTGGTTCTGCCCGGTTCACCCCGGAGGACATTGTCCGTAAACACCTCTTGAGGAATGAACAATCCTTTGACCGGCCTTGTCATATCCCTCCGAACCGCCTTTGCGTTTTCCTTTTATCGATTCTCTGTTGGAGCGATTCATCGTGGCCTAGTTATCGCTCGAGATTACACTTGCCAAAGTAGATCAGCCAAAGTAGACTTGAGTTACTCGATGTTAGTTTGCGCAGGGACCTCTTCACCAGGATAGAAACTGCTCGCCCAAACTCAATCTACAGACCTCCCGCATCCTGCTACGTATTCCCGCGGACTCCACACGAATGACTGGGATCTGATCTGCAGCATGCAAAGCCCCGAATCCCTTGCGAGCTGAGCCAACCGCAAATCGCACTTCGCTGTGCGTATTTCGGGTCCTGTCCTCGGTGCGTGGGAATCGACAACGTGCTGAAAGCGACTCCCCGTCAGTAGCATGCTGGATAATGCAGCATTCTATGATGGCTTCCAAGTTGAGGCTAAGGCGCGAGGTTTCATCCAAGCTATAGTCGATCCTCGACCGAGCAGACGAATCAGTGAGTTTTCGAGCGAAAGGAAGGAGCGTCTTTTCTTGAGTGAGATTGGTTAGTCTTTATTGGAATTCTTCCTTCATTTATCATGTTCAGTCATCATTATCTAAGAAGTAGTAAATCATGGCAATCAGAGATAGATTGGAATAAACGTATTCGGTGGCAGTCCTCGATAGAATCCAACCGGCCAACCTCGGAATGCAACACACATCTTTTAGGTTTTCGGTCCGCCTGCTTTCCTGTCCCGTTTTCCCTAGGTCTTTGTTTTCGCTCCAAGGTTCCTACATGCGGTTGACTATCGCTGCGTGAAGTCTTTCCAGTACGTTGCAGAGTCTCGCTGCTGACTTGAATGTATCTCATTGTGATCATCTACTATTCGTTGATTTCCCCATCAGGGCGATCATTATCCGTGCAAAGACACTGACTGCTCAATCGAAGATCGAATTGGAATTCAGGAATCGATTATACTGATGCACGCTCCGTACTTTCGACCACATACAGAAAACCATTTCTTGAATATTGTTGTGGGTTATCGTAGTTTTTCTCCTGCTCCTATGAGTCTGTATATTCATAGTTTTCTCCCTCAAATTCCATAGGCCTGAACATGGCAAGATGCCGCAGTCTTCATTTTCGATCGGAGTTAGTCTCGGCAAACGGTGACGCTATATCACAGTGAAAATAAATCAGTCAATTTGGGAAGAAATAAAGAACTCTCTCCTCCCGATCCGAACACCACGGTGAGCTGGGGTGTCGATCGACCACGTCAGCCACATGGGTGAAAAAACGAGTTTGAATCGAGAAAACTCAGAAGCTTCAACAATTGCGAAACTCAGCTATTTACAGAGTATGGCACACGATGCAGCGGTAGGCACGCTCGGGGGATCGGAGCTCATTCGTGGATCTCGTCGGACTCGGCAAACACCACAAGGATTTCTCTCCACGGTGGAGGGGTCGCCCTGTAGTCATGGATTAGGTCAGTTCTCCGGACGATTCCGAAACATTCGATATTTTTCAAGTGACCTAGATGGGAGAGCTTGTCTCATCAATAATTTTTGTAATCTGTCGAAGTATCCTCCCGAGAGCTCCTATCGCGATCCATGTCTGGAGGACAAGGTGCCGACATATTGTGTGATTCCCATTTAATTTAAATACATCTTTAATGCACCGCGTGGACTCATGAGAGCGCGAACGCGGCCCTGGTCCGTTGACTAGTTCTAACCTCGCGGTTCACTTTTACCTTAAGTTCCTCCAACGCACTTTTCAATGTTCACAATTGCCACAATTTGACGAGAACGCGAAGGATTCCCCCCTTGAATAATCGATAAGCATTGGTAGCGATTCCCGTATCGATGCTTAATTCGGTTACAGAAGTTTCTCCTTCCCCCGCTTTGGCTCATGAATTTCCACCTCCCTTAAGAATATCTGGTTTTTCTCAAGCCGCGGCGTGCAAGACGATGAGGAACATTCGCACTTCTGATGATATTGAAAAAGTGAACTGTGTGTCTTTTGTACAGCATTGTAGTTGTTGCAGGAGGTTGAGCTTCCTTCTTTCGATAGCGTAGTATTCGCGCCTAGCCTGCTATATCGTAATGGTGATCTCCGTATTGACCTTCTTCCAAGACCTCCTGAGAGGAAAGCGTTCCCTTAGATACTTGGAATCCCGCGGCTCTCAGAACAGAGGTGCCGAATGTTTCATTGGATGAGGACAACTCCGAATAATCGCTCATCGCGAGGTATGGGAGGAAACACTGACCTGTGATCCGGCTCTCGGCCTCATCGTTCCCGGCACCATCGGCTGCCTAACGGGCAGCGTGGCATAGGGAATCGGGAATTGCTGGCCCGGTAACAAGGGCCGATCTTGAGGCGTGACGCCGATGACTCCATATTTGTCAACATCGACGTAACGCGTCGTTCCCGGTGCTGGTCGCATAATCGTCATTTGCCCATTCGGCAGAACTGTCATGGTCCCTGCCGGGGCTCCCTTCAGGGAAAGCGAGCCCGGCGGCACTGCAAGAAGAAAGCAGAACATCAGGCGTGGCACACAGAAAATTCTAGCGACCGGGGCAATGGAAGAGTAGTCGGAGGCGAGTGGCAATCATTGCTCCACTAGTATATAGCGCCGTGATCTCGGGAGCTTAGGCCATAGGGGCGGAATCGGGAAGGGGCGGATCTGATCGCTCATGCAGCCGCGCGGGAAGAGGGTGAAGAGGTTCATTCGCAGAAAGAAGGAAACTGTCGAAGCGTCACACGGGCTGAGAGGCATACACAAAAATTTCGAGTCAAACGCACCATCGTAGGCAATGTGAGGAAACTCACCAATAACTGAAACACAAGCGATTTGTAGAAATAAGAAAGAAAATAAGAGATGAACTACTGTAGTCAACGCAGAGAAGCAAAAAATTCTAAAGGCCTACGGAGAAATCAGATCTTCGAGGCCTCCTCTTCTCATCCATTGAGGTAAGCCTCCGGAATCAATGAGGAGTCTCGATAGTTGAGGGTAGCGATCACGTGCCGCACGTTTCCCGGATTCCGGGATCTTCTGACTTTTGGTCGATCTCCGATACTCACCGACCATGTTCTTATACTTCTTCCGCTCTCTGCTGACGAGACAACACGCGATTAAACTGACGACGGCGATGATTAACACGGAAGCGATCGTCGGAACCAAGATTGCCAAACGAAGGTACACTGGAGAATCGCCATCACCCCCCGCTCTGGGGAACATGGCGTCTGTCAGTGACCCCTCTGTCAAGACAGTCATGACTTCCGATGGTTCGCTTGTGGCTCCTTCACCTTCAGCCTGAAGCTTCAATTCGTATGAGGTTGCTTCACGGAGGCCGGAGAGGGTGTACTTCTGCTCCGGCATTCGTGGGACGGTCAGTTCTCGCCAAGGTCCGGATTGTTCACGGTATGACAGGATAAAGTCTGTTTCGAGAAAGTCCGGAGATTAGATTTTCGTTGAGAGAGGGACTCGGCGTCCACGGGAGCTTCACGAGTCAGAAAATATTTGACTTCAAAGTAAAAGAACTCCTTACGCTGAGCTTGGGGTCCGGGAAGCTCTTGGTATCTGAATGTGATCGCAGTTCTTCCCGTTCCCTCGAGGCTGATCCTCGGAGCTCGTGGCGGCTCTGCATCTGAGGTCCTGGACAGGATATCTTGCGACTCCGGTCCGGCACCTACCGAATTTTCAGCCGATACTACGATGCTGTACTCCGTTCCTCTCTTCAATCCGCTCAAAAGATGTTCTTCCTCTTGGTGCCCAGAGGCAGCCGCGCTTTGGTAGGTGAAATTGCTGTTCGAATGAACAGGTCGGAACCCGATGTAGTATTTCTTTATGTCGCCGTTCCATTGGTCTTTCGGGGGCGCCTTCCAACGTACACGGATGACTGTTGGTCCTTTCGGCTCAGCCAGAACATCGGTAGGTGGGGCAGAAGGCTCTGGGGACGGAAACAGGCTTGAGCTTTCCGAACGACATCAATGACATGACGGGACATACGGAGGGAGCACCTTCGAACTACTGAAAAAATTTTCCGATGCTTTTACTCACTTTCATCTGAAGTTCTGAAGCGAATGCTGTCCGAATGATGACCGCTACCGACAGCGTTCACAGCTGCAACTCGAACGATGTAGTTCGAGCCAGGTCGGAGATCCGACAGAGTCGTTGAGAGTTGTGACGATGTTTCAACTTCCTTTTCATGCAGTCGATGCGCAGTTCCTGTATTTAACGACAACGAACAATCAAGTGAATGAAAAGACCCAGAATAGCTCTCATTCATGAAGCCCAAGGCTCCCATCGCGTTCGTCATGCCCATCACGCTCGACGCCGACTGCATAATACAAATGTATCGCCTGGGACCACCGTGAGTTGTAGGGCTAGCCGTCATAAATACTTACCGTGATCCTTCCAGTACTGAATGATGTATTTAGAAACCGAGGTGCTCCCATACGGCGCGTTCCATCGTAACGTCGCCGAGTTGGAGAACGTTTCGATTACTTTGACGTCGGTCGGAGCCCCGGGCGCCTCTGGAAGGGGAATATGAAAATTGTTATTCGGAAAGATCGTTCTCATCGCTTAGTCCAGAGCTAAAGCTCGAAAATTTTTCCTAAACCGCCGACTTGGACGCCAGACTGACCGAGGACGCTGAGCTTGACCGTTCGCCGGTCTTCGCCGTAAGCGTTGGCAGCAGTGCAGGTGAAAACGCCGTTATCCGATCTGTCCGTCGACGCCACCTGCAGTTCGGAGTTAATTCCGCCTTCGAACGAGTTTTCGATCATCTCCATCCTGAAATGGAGCGGAATACATGATTCGACGAGCACTGCTGAAAGCGCGGGGATTTCGCTCCATCGGAAATCTTTGGAGAACGCCAATCAGTCTATGATTGCAATCCATCCCACACCGACCTTGGAGTATCCAGATTGATGACTTGTTCCCCTTTCTTCCATGTGATGTTGAGCGGGGCATCGCCTAGAGCCTCGCACTTGAGTACAGCGGTGTCCCCTCTGCGCACCGTGACTTGTTGGTACTTCTTATCGATTTTCGCAGGAACTGGAGTTGGAGAAAGGCTGATTAAGACTTGTAAAAATCCTATCTAGTTCCAGTCATGTTTTTCGAAATCGCGTGTGCGGGAAGGCGGTCGTTATAGCAAGCAAGCTGTCAGTGGCCATGTCTTCTTGTGCGGACTCCGGCTGAAATCAATTTTGTGTCACTTGTTAGAAGTAGAGAGATACTATTCGCCATCCTTCAACTCGAAAAGCAGTTTCCATAGCGTCTCCCTCAAGCCAGTGAGCCAGATGCCATCCAAATTCAAGTTTTACCCCTGATAATGATTTGAACTCGACTCTGTAAACTGCCGAGATCGTTTTTCACAAAACACGCCAGGACTGTTCGATTCAGGCTTGGTGCCGCTTGTATCCGGAGCTTTCCGGACTCCACAACTTCTGCGAAAGGAGGCAGCTGCTCAATCCAACGTCCCTCCGATCCTATCGAGAGATAATCCATTAGAGCCGTGAGGAGCAAGAACTTTCCATGTGAGCGATTCCGATCGATCACAGTGCTACCCATCCAGGTATCGATCCATCCAGGGACTAACCCAAATGAAGCCAAATGATTTCAGGGAAAGGGAAGCCGGTGGCGTCACAAGTGACGTCCGAAATGTCATCCAAGAGTAGATCTCGTACGGAAGGAGGGGGCATTCCGTCGGCCCATCGTGGTGGAACTGGAACGGAGAAAACGTGAATAAGTTCATGAGACAGGACATCAGAGGTATCACGCCCCAGGACCACGGAGGTTTCAAAATGCCACATCAGCTTCGTATTTGGATCCGGAGCGGAACGCTTCATCGAGGTTCGAAAACCGTATCGGTAGTGCTCTGCTTTTTCCCAATATAGCAGCGAGGCTTCAAATATGCCGCGCGAATTCTCCGCGCGGACGAATGACAGCGGTTTGAACTTTCGCGCGCTTTCCTCAGGTAGCCTCGACGCCCGCAACCACGCTTAATTTCATTCTCCCAAAGCTTGTGCGGAATGAAGATGCTCTACTCGTCAAGCGCATTGGTCACTTCCGATGGATCGTGCTCGGAGCCCGCATCGAGCCTTGGTTCATTTCCCCTCGGAGTTCCACATTAGCCGGAATTACGATTCGACCGGCAAAACACGTGTTTTCTCTGCTCCTAGCCACCGGAGATGGCGCCACTCTCGCTGTTTTAAGTATTAGATACGAGGAGCGCGAAGGTGGTCGTGGGGAGACGCCCGCTGGTGGTAGCGTTACCCCCGGGAGGAAGCGCCCTCTGTTCTACCAGAGACTCAGTGACTCACTGAACAACGGGAGGGAGGGAGAGAGATTGTGCCTTGACTGGGTCGCTGGCCGACTCCAAGCCGGCTAGCTGAGAGTCCCGAATACGACACACGAGTCTGCTCCCCTAGTTCTTTCACTAGCGCTCCCTCCGCGTCTCTCGTCGGCAAACTGCTGGCGTAGGGTTGAGAGAGTGAAGCCGACGCACATATGGGAAACGAGAGACAAGCCCTGCATCGTTTTGATGTTGGATGCGTGTATCGCGCCTAGGCTGGCGACATTCACTGGAATATTTTCATCCATCCGGCAGCCATTCAATCAGTATAAATTGCAATAATGATGAGCACACGAGAACTACCGGAGTCTCGAGCTCCGGAAACGGCATTGCACTATTTGTCCACGATTCCGTCTGCCCTGAATCAATCACGGAATATCGGAAGTCTTGATCCGAATCCATAGAAACTGTTCGAAATGCATTTCGAAGAAGGAGGAAGCGCTCGAAACGGACTTCGGTTCTTTTCCTAATGCTCCGCGGGGATGAGATACCCCCGACGGCTAATAATTCAAGGTCGGTCCCCCGCTCATAATGATCGGGACATGACTGCGAGATGTGTTCGGCTCGCGAATGTGGATAGACGTTTGTATCCCGCGAGAAGTGTGAATGATTGTCCCGTGTCGATCAACAAGAGCTGACTCGTGACATTAGCGACCACTTCCTCCGAGTGTTTGTATCTTTTGAAACAGATGGGCCTGTGAAGCAGCCGGCTCCGAGAGGCCTCTTGACAACATGAGCCGGCGCAGCCAATACGCTTGTCACCGAAACAGTTATCCAGATATTGAGTGGCGATCTGTGACGGTGAGCTCAACGTCATTCCATCTGCTCGGGGAAGATTCTTCCTTTCCTTCGAGAATTGTCCGCCCGACCCCAAAGGGGATAATTCTGCTCATTACGAGGGTTCTATTTCATGAGCTTTGCATTACAATCGGTCACCGAGCTTGTCAGAATCGTCATGCTCAGAACGCGTCCGTCCCAGGTTGCTGATGATCTTCGCTTGAGATAGCATTATCCAGGCTTCGCACACAAGAGCAGAGCTGCTGAATAGCCGAGCGGAACGCCTCAAACAAGCCGAGAATCTTTGTCTAGAACCAGGTGCATGTTGTCAGTTCTCCTGCCCGCCACCACAGGTGATGAACTGAGCCATTCAAATTCTGACTTTGACTCGCGCACTCTGAAGTCCTCGGAAAGGATCAAAAACCGAACGCAGTCGGAGGTTGGTCCGACGTCGACGGATGCGGCTTCCGAAATCAGGCGTTTCCCGGACCAGAATAAGTATTATGACCTAGCACGGCATACCATCACGAACAATGGATTCCCGAGATGAGCCACATATCGTGAAAAAAAGAGTATTAGGACTGCCCCTGAACTATTGACTCTGTCGAGTGGCCTCAGTGTCATCTCGTGATACTGGCAGTCTCTCGGCACTGCTTTCGCGGCGTTCAGTACCTCTCGTTGACAGCTCAAGAGAACGAGCAAATCGGTATATTGTTTGCGGCAGCGGTAGTGGTTGACGCGTATGTGTCTGCGCTAGGAGGCTTTCTGTCGAGAGGCTCAAGTCAATGTTCGACGTAATAAATGCAAATTGAGCTGCTTCTGGACTTACGACAAGCATCTTTTTCGGATAGCTGCCGAAGAGGCTCGAGGGACCGTCTCCGCTCCTGGCCAAAACACTCGCCGTAGTGCTCGCCGCTGATCGCATATGTAAAGAAAAGACTGCGACCGCGAACGCCTCGCTCGATTCTGTTTCCATGAACCTCAAGCCCAGTTCTGTGTCACGTGCTTCTGCCGTGACATGAACCGGCCGAATATCCATAGTAACTCGCTGAGGTTTCGATATTCGTCGGTATTCGGTCGGCTGCTGTTTTCGATGGTCACACTTTTCGCTTTCTCATTTTTTATCGATTACTCCCACAGGAAGCGATTCGTCACCCCCTTGTCTGTGTTTATCCTGTTGACTAACACATCGAGGGCTTTGCCACACCGACCGGAAGCCTGAACGGCGGCACCGGGAGGCCCACTCCGATTGAGGACGGGTAGATTTAAAGAAAGGAAACCTTTTGTAGACATCTTTGTCGGAGCTCTGGTTATCGCTAACCGTTCAGAGCTTTTCAATCGATTTACAGGCCCCGAGAATCTCCGCCCTCCGTCCAGGGAAATGGATGGAAGCGACGAGCTGCTCAAAACACTTCTCGATCCCGCTTCGCACCCGGAGAGAGGATGGCGAACCAGAAGCAGGCGGTCAAGAAGAGCGGAAAAGGTTTAATCTAGTGAGACGCTGTTTGGTAGAGGCAGCTCTCTCGGAAGCCCTAATAAATCTGGGGCCGCCCCTATGCGCTAAAGGGTGATTCTTTCATTCCGAGACTACTGCTCGTAAGACTGTGTCACTTCCGCTTGGAACGCCTGGACCGAGATCAAAGATTTGCCATTCGGAAGAATACGATTTACGAAAGCGAGCTTTTCCACCCAAAAATGGGGTCACTGAGACGATCTCGGTGTCCTACGAGATGGGTTCCTATAGAGCTGAGCTCAGAAGGCCCGGAATGGGCGTATACAGAATTTCGAGCTATTGAAGCTCTCCCGGGAAGATCTTCTCGGAAAAGGGAGCACGAAAACGATGATGTATGCAGACGCGTGTTACTTAAATAAAATGTAACATTTCGATGTCCGGAAACATGGGGCAGGGAGGGACATGGCTACTTTGCATTCGCGGAACGACAAACCATCGATTCTGTGTTCAGGCAGAACGACATGGCGGGCATTCACCTCTGGGATCCGTAGAGATATCGAGCTGATCTCGCCACGAGGTACAGTATCGGTCATGAAATGGCTGATTGTATGGATTTCGAAACGCCTGATTCGACTATGTATGGATGAGCATCCGCCAAGATTCAGTGTTGAAAAGCCCTCGAGAAATTTTGAAACTACAATGTTTCGCTCAGCCGACGCGACGCGGAAAATCGTCTAATTCGCTGTCCTGATCCCGGAAACGCCCCGAATATCCGAAGCTCAGACGGAACATAAGATATATTCGCGAGAATTCGCTCGATGAACACCGCCCGAAAACGGGGATATTTCACCGAGCGCACATATCTTTCGATCATTTGTTAGACGGGGATGCGCGCAGCAAAACCTGAAGGAAGATGTCATTGCGGGTGGATCTCCCGCTGGGACAGTGCTCCGAAATTATGACGTTTGACGTTTTTCTGTCAGCGCCCGAGGATTCAGGGCAGATGCTTCTCTTCTAAACTCAATTCAATTGTTGCTGTTCACCGCTGACTTGGATTTTTCAGCGTCGCGTCACCGCTCGAGCAAGTTGACAAGGAAACGAAACGAGTAACTCCGCAAGTTTCGTTTCTCTTACGACGCGGAGCGTTCTGTCGATTCGGATTACCATCTATTTCTTGTGGAACTTATTTTGGAGACGAAGACTCCAGAGCGACAGTGAACCGCCGCAATATTTCATTGAGAGCCTGCTCGCCTGATTGATGCTTGCGAAAACGTCGGCGTGCCCACATCAAGTGCTAATCGGAGTGTTCACACTTTGTGGCGTACGGGTCTTGATAGATGCATCATCCAAGATCGGACAACATCCATTCACCAGCATCGTCTAGAGAAGTTTCAAAAGAAACGAAGCCGCTCAGGAGTCTCTCACGGACAGTATAACAGAAACTGTCCATTGTCCGAAGCATCCGTACAT